GCCAACTTGTTCTTCAACGCCGCGCGATCACGATCGATCCAAATCAACCAGAACGCTTCAGTGTTCCCCGATTATTTTTCTGCGATTTTGTACGAGGAAGAAAATAAGTTGACAAATTGAAGGTGAGGTGTCAGCAAGGGCCATTAAGGAACGCTTTTGAAAATCGTGCCAGACGTGGAACGTGGCTGAGATTTTTGCCAAAGTATGACGTGAACCCCCTTTGCTATATCCGACAGCTATAAATTCTTTTCTTTCTTGCTCACCACCGACTCTTTTTTACCATCGCACGCTTCAAACACTTTGTAACGTACGAATCTAAATTTACGATCCCTTCGAATGGGTACCATCTCTATTTTCGTGTGCGAATGCACGTGGCCTTGACTTTGCGCCCCTCTTTGCACGCAATTTTCATTCCACTCAATGTGTTACGTCAAGGCAGTAAAAAGATACTACTTCGTAGGGATTCACTTGAAAGTTAACGACGGTGACAAGAGGAATGGCAATAGTTTTGTTTCTGGGCACATGTGAACGTAGGATATTGAAAAGTATTGTGATGATTTAGGTCTTGTTGGGTATACTTGTGGACACTGATTACATATTTATAAATTTTCAAATTTCATAATTGCAACTATTCAGATATTTAATTTTTCGAATTTTTGAAGATGGTCTTGGGAACATTTCCTGAACTCCAAAATTTTCAAATATTAAGTTTTCGGAATTTCAATACTTCCAAGTTTCAAGTTTCTCAATTTCCAAATTTATGAGCCCCATAATGTTCAAATAACCCTCGGAAATTTTAATTACCAAAATTCTGAAGTTCAGCATTAAAAAATTTCTGAGTTTCAAATTTTATTTCATCAAGTTTGAACATTTTTTAATTTGAAAACCACAGAACTAAAAATTTTGTCAGACCTATCATCAAGGCCCAATTAAAGAATCTCAAAAATGTTCACCACGGGATCAAATTGCAGAGAATAAACGTGTGTATAAAACCCGATAGGTTTATTTAGTCCGTCGCAGAATTATTTTTCCAGTCTCTTTCCAAGATTATATTAATAGTGCTCGAAGCCAGCGTGGTCGATAATCGTAAAAATAAACGTTGATCCGTAGGTACTTGCGTAAGTAACTGTCGCGGAATGATTTCATTCTTCCCGCCCCGTTTTCGATACAGTAAAGTAAAGCAGGTTCGTAAATGTCGGTCGAGAAAAAAAAATAGCGAGCGTAACGAGGAACATAATCGTTTGCCGGCCGATAACTGCGTGATAAACCGCGATTGATTATTATCGATAGTTGCAGAATACAATGTACCCGAAGAACCGCACGGATTCGAAATGTCGAAACAATTTTTCACTGCGCCTCTAAAGGGCTCGAGCAACGACACGTTGACTCCGCGTTACTCGGACATTGATTAATTGATACGATTTCTGAAATATCACGCTGCCGTACGCTGCGGTCGAACGACAGGATAGCTACCGAACGCATGTCACATAATTCATATTCATGATTACTCGCCGTGCACTTAACGTCGCAATACTTAATCCGTTTTAACCCGCGATTAATATGCACTTAGCCTGCCACTTAAACTAATAAATAATCGGCTAATAATTTAATTACGCTCGGATCGGCAGGCGACTGGCCGCAAATCCGACAAACCGTGTTTCCCGGCTCGATGAATATTCCGCGGTTATTATACAAAGTGCGGAATATAAGGACGAACTTAATTAATGTTGGGATTTATGCAACCAGAAACGTCTTAATAAATATTTATTCGAATAATCGATTGATCCCAACTGTTTTTCGAATTGCTAATTTGCGTTGTTTGGGTTGACACGTAATTATCTATTAACTGTATTTATATACAGGATAATGTAGGGAAAAGTAATAAACAGGATTATGATAGCTTGAATTTCTTGTATCTCGATGGGCAGTGGCGTAGTTAGGTCTTTTTTTGATGAGGTAGACGCGCCATTGAAAATTTGGGAAGATGGGGATTTGGTGTTGAGAGAAGTAGGTAGTTTAGAATTTTGGAAATGTGGGGTTGGAATTTGAGAATCAGGGATTTGGAGATTTTGGAGATTTGAGAAATTGGGGACAGAGGTTTGGGAAATTTTTTAGTTTGAGAAATGTGGGAATTTGGTACTTGAGAATTAGGGGTTTAAAGATTCTAGAGATTCGAGAAATTGGGGACGTAAAGATTTGGAAAATTTTTTTATTTGAGAAATGTGGAAATTTGGTACTTGATAATTAGGAGTTTAGAGATTCTGGAGATTTGGGAAATTTTTTAGTTTGAGAAATGTGGGAAATTTGGTGCTTGAGAATTAGGGGTTTAGAGATCCTGGAGATTTGAGAAATTGGGAGCTTAGAAATTTGGAAAATTTTTTAATTTGAGAAACGTAGGAAAATTAGTATTTGAGAATTAGGGGTTTAGAGATTCTAAAGATTTGAGAAATTAGAGACATAGAAATTTGAAAAATATTTTAATTTGAGAAATGTGGAACACATGGTGTTTGAGAATTAGGAATTTAGAGGTTCTGGAGATTTGAAAAATTGGGAACCTAGATATTTTACAACTTAAAAATTCACTAATCTTATGAACTAAAAATTTGCAAAATTCAGAGACATAGAAAATTATAAAATTTAAAGCAAATTTAATGCGATCCCTAGATATCTACGCCAATGACTCCGATTAAGACCTGTTGATCTCTATTAAGTGATTAAACCACTGTTTATAATTTCCAAACACCCAACATTATCACTCAGCTCGATTTCCTTTAATCTCGATTAAAAATAAAGGAACGTAGAACTAGTTGTCGATCGTACATAATTACAGTTGGAATAATTTTGTTTTCTTGTGCGTCTATTGCTACATAAATTCCACATTTCTCGCTCGTTCCGATCCGCGGTAGCGTTCCATGGGATTTCAATCGGTGAAATAATGTTCCACGGTAAACAGGACCCATAAATATATCCGATTGAAAGTTACTCATGACGTCCTACGGAAAACGCACGGATACAACAATAGATCGAAACGTAGATAATGCGACGTTCGTAATTGAGATCGATCTAGTGGAACCATCGATATGGCGCCGAAGAAAATCGAGACCAGGATTTCAAGTCGAACTTTTTAATAGGTACGCAGAATTTGAACAGGAAATGTTATGCAGAAAAATCTGGTCCACTTTCAGATAATAATTTCGCGTAGAAGCGATCACGTTCGACAGGTCGACGCGCGACTAATATCGATTCCCGTCAAACGTTCGCTAACAACTGGAGCATGAAAGCATTATGTGCTTGCGTGTACGTAAGAGAGCTTGATAGCTTCTTTGATATTCAATTTCCTTCGCGTAACATCACAAGCTGTTTTCTCACGCTCCAAAATATCCTCGTCAAAGTTGAAGAACCTCTGCGGTAGAAATATTTGAACCAGAGATTTATTAGTTCATCTTTTGTCTATTTATTTTTATTTATATTTGTAATCTACTTGTATTGGAAAGTTTTATATATCTTGAGAAGGTACTTTAATAATTTGATGTACTTTTTATCGTTTGATCGTTTGAGCAAACACTGATATGTTTGCTATAGCTTTTAATGGATTGATTTATATTTACAGTATGGATTTGAAGGTTAGGTAGTTGTTTTTAGAAAATTGAACTTCGGGTTGATGTAGAATTGTTGTCAACAAAGTGAATAGTACGAATACGAATATGGCGTCAACAGACAGTAGTTCGATCGATGTTACATACATATTGTATAAGATATCAAACTTGATGTATTAGATGTATCAATCATATTGCTATGTCGATGATGTTGATGCATTGATCATATTAATACATACATTTTATTGATATATTGATCATATTGATATATTTAATCTATTTGATCTATTAGACATATTAATCATATTGACACATAGATCATATTAATATATGAATGTTACTGATGCATCGATCATTGATATATCTAATCATATCATGACATATTAAAGTTGATCTATTAGACATATCAATCATATTAACATATGAAACTTGACATATTAGAATTGATACCTGATATATTAAATTAGACATACTAATTATACAACGTATTAGATTTGAATGATAAAAGTCTGCTTCATATTAGGTTAAGTTTTACAAGACTACTAGTTAAAATATTTAAAGAGTTTATTTTACATGGAACACCCTATACATAAATCGTCTGCCACCCCAAAACATCCAGACAAAAAGAGTCCGAGCACAACTTGTTCCCCATATTTTTGCCCGAATCGAAAAATAAGAAGGGAGTAATCGAAATAATACCAACGAACGAATTTACCAGCGAACATTCGATGTTACACACAAACTTCGGTAATTAATGCGACAGATCCTGCGGTGCACAAAATATACGACGACACAAAGGCAGCGATATACAAAGTTCGAATTGAAACGTGTTTGTTTGAGCATGCAGGCTGGAAAAAGAATCGTGGACAGCTCGAAAGAAACGGGAAACGGTGATTCGCTGATAGCACAGGCTGCAGCCTCGTCCAGAAATCGGGACAGGGCTTAAAAATAGTAGGCGATCCGACGCCCACTTTCGCCGGCATTAAAATATTATCCAAACGTCGAATATATTTTTTCGTTTCGGTGCATTCGTTCTACAACGGCTTAAAACGATCCTAAAAATACTCTGCGATTTCCCAAGAACCGTTTTGTCATTCCGTGTTCGCGTACTTTGGAAAACACATTTCATTTATTTCTTGCACCATGTGTCCTCATCATGTGAGGATCAAATCTTCATTTGATCAATATAAAAAATAACAGGTTTAAATTTCCTTTGGTAAATTTTGATTCTTGATCTAAGTTAAAATGTCAACTCATCTCAGCTAAGTTAAAATGTCAACTCACCTGCGAAATAAAAATTGCCAGCTAATATATGTAAAAAGTCGTGTATTTCTGGTATAATGGCAGTAATAATAGTAATAGTTTCCTCGCAAAGTATTCGACCGATTCCCTTTCACTTTTTAGTGTACCTGCAGTTGACAACCTTCCAGTCACAGAAAATTTGAGTCAGCCGCAGAATTCTAACGCGAGATAAATCTAATAACGCAAATTGTTGGTGACATTATTACCGGAAGTGTACAGTCTTCGAATTCAATTTTCGAAGCGATAAATTTTCGCCGAAATAAGTTTCGCGTAACATTTCGAATTTTCAACGCGTAAAAACACTTCGTTCCACGGAACACCTTGTATGTCTCACTGGAAGTGGCCTATAATTTTCGCTAAAGGTATTGATCATTCTTGTCGGCACTTTGCTTCATTAACCGATCCCGGACAGAAAGAAACCTGCTTCGCTCGAGGAAAGTGTGCGCCGTGGACCGCGAACGAAAACGGGAGCGACGAAAAATCGGGAAAGGTCGCCGATTTATCGGGTAGCCTGATGTAATTACACAAACTATGCCCCGTGTTCCCGCCACCTTTTTATCTGGCCTCATGATGTCGGTTACAGCGTTCGTGTAAATAATTTTCTTATCTCTACTATCCTTCTATCCGTGTCTGCCGCGATCGCGTTGATCACAATTTAGATATCAGCAGGGAAATTCCTGCAGAGTCTCTCGAATACCGTGTAAGGTAACCTGAGTAACGATAAATAATATCGCGATACGAGCGGTATGAAAAAATTCGCGGAAAAAATCGTGTTCGGTGTGAAAGATACTTAACGACCTCAAAAATTGTGGGAAAGGGGATACTGAAGTTTAGACTTTATTTTATGGAAATTACTCGTGGAAGAGTGATGTGATTGGTTTTCAAATTTGGGTGAATGAGAAATTTTCAATTGGGAGAGTGATGAGTTGCTGCGAGTAGATTTAGCCATATGTGGTAAGACATGTGGTGATATGTAGATTGTCGGAGTTTCTGACTTTTTGGGTTTTAAAATGCGACCTTTCTATGTTTCTAAATTCCTGGAATCTCAAGTTTGCAAATTTTTATATTTCCAAATTCTTCAATTTTTGGGATACAAAACTCGCTAATAACCAAAATTTGAAATTACTAAATTCTAAAATTTCTATGTCCTCAAATTCTCAAATTCCCAAATTCCCCAAATTTCAATCTTCCCAAATCCCAAATTCCCCAAATCCCAAATTCCCCAAATCCTAAATTTCTTAAATACCAAATTCTCCAAATCCCAAATTCTCCTAACCCCAAATTCTTCAAATCCCAAATTCTCCAAATCCCAAATTCCCCAAATCCCAAATTCCCCAAATCCCAAATTCCCCAAATCCCAAATTCCCCAAATCCCAAATTCCCCAAATCCCAAATTCCCCAAATCCCAAATTCCCCAAATCCCAAATTCCCCAAATCCCAAATTCCCCAAATCCCAAATTCCCCAAATCCCAAATTCCCCAAATCCCAAATTCCCCAAATCCCAAATTCCCCAAATCCCAAATTCCCCAAATCCCAAATTCCCCAAATCCCAAATTCCCCAAATCCCAAATTCCCCAAATCCTAAATTTCTTAAATACCAAATTCTCCAAATCCCAAATTCTTCTAACCCCAAATTCTCCAAATCCCAAATTCTCCAAATCCCAAATTCTCCAAATCCCAAATTCCCCAAATCCCAAATCTCCAAATTTCCAACTTCCCAAAGTCCCTAAAATCCTCAGATCTCCACATTCCACAACCTTAAACCTCAAAAACCCCCAAACTAAATCTAGCTTAAAACTTAATACCCTTACCCTCACAGTTAAACTCAGCCCATCTCAATGACACCGCAACCAACAAAAGTGCAAGTGAAATGAACTCTCATTCAAATGACAGTGAAAGAGACTAAGAACAAACGAAGTGTCCACATTTGGAAAATGACGAGCGATTTTCCGCGAAGAGGACTTCAGCGTGAAGAACATTAAGCGGAAAAAACGATGATGTCCCAAGTGTGAAGCCGAAAAAGAACCTTCTTCAAAATGGATCGAGCTGTCCTGTTCGCTCTATTGATATCTCTGACGGTAAGACCCGAAACATTTACTCACAATTTAGTATGATGTTAAGACTGTTTCTGGGTCGGTTCTAATTCGACTCGAATCTCAATGCCAACCTCGTAGATCAGACTAATGTGCAGCCGTTCGAAATGTGCGTGCACGAGATTGAAAAAAGCGTGGTAAGTGCTGGGCGGTCTCTTTGAAGCCCAATTCAAAGGACTTGTTTCTTTATAAGTTGTACGTCATCGATTTTTCGTGAGGTTGCGATGCTGGTATTTCGAAATCAAATACCGAAGTACGAATTCTTGGTATTTGCGCACCTGATAAGTGATAAGTGCTTTTGGGATCATTTTATCTACTGATAAGTTCTTTTAATCCTTTGAGAATGTGATGATGATACATTAGGTTACATTTCAAAGCGTGCGTTCATCGTGATTTAAGGGTAGAGAAATGGTGAATTATTTTTAGTTTATTGCTGACGTAATTTGTGACGAATATTTTTGAATTGATGTGTATTGATTTTTGTGTAATTTTAATGGAATATCGAGATGAAGACATATTTCATTTACAAGTGTATATATCTTACATTATATAGCTTACATGTTTTCAATATGAGTTCTTCAAATCAGCATCTATGGATTGAATAGGTGATCCATGTGTGATGGGTCATGAATCTCTTAATCTTTCAATCTTATATCATATATTTATATTTTACTTATATTTGTATAAAAATTAATTAAAAATATTTGCAAAACAATTATTACATAATTAGTGCAAAAACAGAATTTCTACATAGGTGTATTATTGAACTTGAAAAACTATTCTGAAAGACTATTCTGAAAAACTATATCTTGAAAAACTATTCCTGAATACATTAAATCAATCTCCAAAAAATCATAAATAAGTTAAACTTTGAAGTGTAATGCTAAAAGGATCCAAACACATTCGACCAGATTATTGACCAGTCTCGATAGCAACGAATTTCAAAAGCGAATCTTTGAAGGCAAAACGATGAAAGTCCCGAGTTATACCGGCTACGAATCGAATATTGTAATTTATACGGTCCACGAAATTTCGTCTCACGTGGTCGACCAAAGTGATTCGTTGAAAGACAAATTACAGGATATCTGGCGCCTCGTGGTTCAAACCCGTCCGCATTCAGGCCTCCGTTTCTCAGCACATGCTGAAAAGCACGGATGCCGAGAGCCCTACGTCTTTTTTATATATATATATATATATATATATTCTTCCCCTTTCTCCTCTTCCTTTTTTTCTTCTTATTCGACCGGAGAAAACCGAGTGCCTCGAGGCTTACTACCGTGGACCAATAAAAAGTATCACACGGCCGTGTCCCGTTCGTGTCACCGTGATAAGAGAGACTCTTTTTGGAGGCATCTCTTTATCCGTGCGTGTCACTAAAATTTCGTCGAAAGCGTGTCGGTGTATTTCTTGCTGACATCCTCGAGAATCGCTCTCGAGTAGGAGGCACTCTTTCGAGCTTTGGTTTCACAACGCTTTTAAATTCGATTCTCGACACTCGTCTTGCAACGGAAATTAAATTTCATGGAAATCTGTGGGCTGTTGACATTTTGACATCTTGGAATTTTGGGATTTTTGGGATTTTTGGGACTTTAGGGGTTTTGGGGATTATTGGGAATCTTGAGATTTTTGGGATTCTTTGGATTTTTAGGATTCTTGGGATTTTTGAGATTTTGGGATTTTTGGGATTTTTGGGATTTTTGGGATTTTTGGGATTTTTGGGAATCTTGAGATTTTTGGGATTCTTTGGATTTTTAGGATTCTTGGGATTTTTGAGATTTTGGGATTTTTGGGATTTTTGGGATTTTTGGGATTTTTGGGATTTTTGGGATTTTTGGGATATTTGGGATATCTGGGATTTTTAGGATTTCTGGGTTTTCTGTGATTTCTGGGATTCTTGAGATTTTGGGGATTTTTAGGATTTTTGGGATTTTAGAATTTTGGTAATTTGACAATTTGGAAATCTGAGACTAGGAATTCAGGGCTTTGGGATTTGGAACCTTGAGACTTTCAGACCTTGGAATCGAGGGAATCTAGGAATTTGTAGTCTTTGAGAAATTGGGACAATAGGAATTCGGAATTTTGAAAATTCAGAGCTTAGGATTTTGGTATCATACAAATTGGGGATTTTTGAAATTTTTGGAGACTTGGGAATTTCGAAGTTTAGAAATTTGATATCTTGGTAATTTGAGACTTTGAGGATTTCGAAACTTAGATATTCGAAATTTTAGAAATTAAAATCATCTTTAGTTAGGAATTATAGTCATCTTTAATTAGGAATTGTAGTCGTCTTTAATTAAAGTCATCTTTAGTTAAAAATTATAGTCTTCTTTAATTAAAGTCATCTTTAGTTAGCGATTATAGTCATCTTCAATTAAAGTTATTTTTGGTGAGAAATTATAGTCATCTTTAGTTAGAAATTATTCTCATACCCTTAATTAAAGTCATATTTAATGTCTACAATCTTGAAGAATTAAAGGCCTTATGAGTTTCATGACTTTAAGAATTTAAAACATTAATACCTTTAAAATGTAAAAACATAGTAATCTAAACCTTGTGAAATTTAGAACTTCAGCAAAATAAGACTTCACCCGTTTTTAAGGTAGAAGTACTTGGAACTTGAACCATTTCAAAACGCTCCAAACATGAAATATTGCAAATTTGACCCGTTGTAGTGTGCAACCGAACGTGCGTCACTAGCCATTCACAAGTTTGAGACCACATTTGCTAAAAGAACACCTACGCGATAAAACGTCGGAAATAAATCTTGAATAAGTGAGAGATTCAATTTGAAAGCATTCAACCGGAAGACAGTTAACGATTCTGAAACGAACCAAAGATGGAAGACTGTCCATTGAGCAAAGACAATTTCGAGCAGTCCCGTGGGCGCCGATACAATGGACATCGATTCGTTTGATTAATGAACCATCCTTCTGCTTTCAGGAGACATTAGAACAAGATTTGGCCGATGAATTTGGATCAAGGATAAAGTGCTGTATCTGTTTGTTCCCTGCAACACTTTAAAAGCGGCTCGAATCTGTTCTAATGTGCTATCTGGCTGGTCTAAGAATACGCGTTACTCGCAACATTTAACCGCAGGAATGCGTTCCAAGCAATATGGTACTTCCTAGATAGACCTTGGACGTCATAGACGGGTTTCTGCTCATCGGTGGAAAAAATAAAAATCGATGTTGTTCGCAATTAGTCGAAGTCATTTACAAGGAACGCCCGATTCGCGAACAAAACAATGTCTTCTACGTTCAGAGATTGCCTTCGTGATCGATCGTCTTCATATTCCATAAATATCAGGATTTTCATACATCTTCGTGATAATCGATGTGATTTGTGTCGTTAGGTAACTGTAGGACTTCTTACTGAATCTTCAGATGAAGCTACAAGTCAGAGAGAAAATATTTCTGCTTTTGAAGAAGTTTAACTGTACAAAATTTATAAAATTCTTATCACAGATATACAAATACCGTGTTAACCCCTTATACTACGATTCTAGTTGCGTCAGAATTAATCACAGCAATATTAAAACAGACAAAGAAAGAAATGAGGCAAATAAAAAGTAAAGACATATGTCAATGAAAATGACAGAACGGTAGAATTTGTATACATTTTCTATGTAGATAGTAGCTTGATTTTTTCTCGAATCACGTACGCAAAAATATTTTTTCGTACTTCTCGCATTCACTTGACCCGTTTCCATGCTTATCGTAAAAGCGTATATCGGAGCGTTAATTTAAACTTTGATTGACACTGTACAAGATTTACATAACTTTTATGATAATTAACGAGGGAGTGGTAGAGATCGGTAATAAACAACATTAATAATTAGTTCACTGATTTTGGTTACGATATCTTATCTTAACGAAAATCTTCTAGAAAACGATAACTTTGTATTTTTACTTCGTCGAAAAAATTTTCGGGTGCACATTTTTGTAGACAATTTCTGACTCATACTTCGCTATTCGCTTATCTGCGAAACGAAGATTCATTCGGCTAATTTACGTTTCACCATCGGCAATTTTATTAGTCATAGTTCTTAATGGACACGAAAAAAAACCGGTCTAAACGGGTCCTGTGTCATCCACGATTTTAAAATACAAGCGTTCATTAGGGTGTGCTCGAACGATATTTACCTTTTCGAGGCCTCGTTAAGACCACGAGTGATAATAATAACGCTGAATAAACTAACAACCAATAAACCGGCGACGATTCATTAGCTGTTCGACGCTAAAGCATCGCTGAATTTGCCGAACAGGCGCCGGGATTTGTTGAACGAGTTCTACGGCATTTGGAGGTACACGAGATCGTTCGCGATTAATACTCTGCTCAGTTTAAATCTTCAGGTATTTATTACGAGAAATTTCCGACCTGTCGAGTTTCTACGAAACTGTGATTAATTTTCGACGACACGCAAAATTATCGAAGCTGTACATTGAGTAGAGTTCAATATTTTAGAGTGAAAGTAAATACATTCTTTGGTGCAAGAAGAATGATTAATGTTTGTTTACTATCTACTCATTTTAATTGAAGTTTGAAAAAAAATCTTGAAAAAATGAAGTTATTCTAAAATTTTTTATGAAATCTGAAGTTGAAAGTTTTGGTCTTGATGAGAAATTTAAAGTGAAATCTTAAGTTGAATATTTTAATCTTTATTTAAAATTTGAAGTAAATTTTTTACTTCAAAAAATTTTTTAAACATTTGATCCTAACCTAAAGTTTAAAATAAAATCCGAAGCTAAAAGCCTAAATCTTCATATAAAATTCTAAGTGAAATCCTAAGTTGAACGTCTCAGTCTTAATCTAAAATTTCAAGCAAAATTTCAAATTAAAAACCTTAATCCTAACCTAGAATTTAAATTAAAATCCGAAGCTAAAAGCCTAAATCTTCATATAAAATTCGAAGTGAAATCCTAAGTTGAACATCTCAGTCTTAAGTTAAAAATCTGAATGATAATCTAAAGTAAAGTCAAAGTCAAATGAAGAGTGTCTTCAATCGAACCGCATTCGACATTAATAAGCAGAAGGAATGTGGCAAGGTGTAAGTTACGTGCAGGTGTTACAAGATGCTAGTTTGATAGATCGAATTAAAAGTATGAATACGGTGAATAAATGTAATCCATCCAGGAAGTCTCACAGTTTCCTCGTTTTCGTGTCACGCGCACTTATTGTCAAGTCAAGGTATTGTAATAAATTACAGATGTTCTATAAATACAAAACTTGCACGTATCAGCATTATCTATAAATACAGCAATGACATAAGCATGTATTTCAAATTGAAACTATCAAACCTCATCGATCATTCTGACACGTACATGTTTCAAAAAAGTTGACAATTTTGTCGAAATTTTGTAGTTATCACAAATAATGCAATGTCGTGTTTGTAGCAATTAAATGAAATATTACCAACGTCTCACCAATGACATACCTAATTTCTAAATTAAATCTTCCTTCCCTCGAGTCGCAATCAATTTGCTTTTACGCGTCTGTCAGCTAGACTGACAGTAGGAAGATATTTATTCATGGACCATCAGTTTCGTGTCTCGTTTCTTTCCCAACGTTATGACATTCGCTTAGTGCAGGGTCATGATCATGCAACTTGCAGTCACTCGACTTTCGTACGCTGTTCGAATCTTCATTGACGTCTTTCGAGTATACACTTCGTCTCCTTCTCACCTCTTCATGTCCATTTCGTTGTTCGCTTCTTTATGAAGCTTTTAATGTTTCTCCTTACCAAGTGTCTGCGTTCACCGGGCCGGTCAATAGTGTACCGTCTTATTCAAATTATATTTTATGACATATGTCACACAAGAGATATGTCACTTTTAGGAAATAACGCTCTATCTGCAGTTTTAAAGGTAGACAGGTTAATATCTCCATTTTAAGACATTCTACAGCTTCGTAAATAATTAAGGTTTGAGAAGTAAACCATTTAAAGATCCACTGTTTCAAAGTTCAAGAATTGAAAATTCCCAAATTTTTCCTAAACTATTCTTGACCTTCTGAACACTTTAAATCTAGACTCTCCTTTGACCACCTTAAATTTCTCCTGCTTCTCAAAAAAGCAAATAATAAGAGTGCTCATTACTCGACCCTTAGTCTGAGTCGAAGAAAGCTTCGGTGCATAACGAAGCAGACGGAAAATTACAGTAAAGATTCGTAAAAAAGCGTTGAAAAAAGATCATCCTTCAATTTACAGTCGCCTCATTAACAGTGACGTTCGTTAACCTGTAGCATCATCAAGCCTTTCGCGTAATATTAATTTGCCCCTTAACGACGCGAATTATTACGACTCACGCAACCTATTCGATCTATTACCGCAACGAGGCAGTTTCGTTATTACCTATCCTAAATTTAAATTCTCCCATGGAACTTGAAGTTGAAGATGACGGTGCACGTGACCGTGCTCATTCGCAGACTATCGGTTCTGCTTTCGCGTCTCATCCCTTTCTCATCTCGCGCATTACGACGCGTACGCGTAACCGGCGCCAACGGATCCGCCGAGCAGGTTGCAGAAAACGCCTCGAGTCCTCGAGTTAGACGCGCCTCTCGACAAGCTTCCTCCCGTCGGACCACCGTGAAAAAGCATTTAGAATTCGCCACGGAATCCGGTCTTATCGAGCAAAGTCAATTATATCCGGCCAGAGGAAACTGGTTGGCAGGCGTCAAAAGAAGGATGGAATTCCGTGAAACCGTGAAACGCTTCTCTGTGCGAATGTCAGTGATTTAACACATTAGGCACATTCGTTTCGAACGTCTCAGTTTTATTGGTCGGACTATATTCCTTAATACAGCTTTTGTATACGTGGATTAGGTTAACTTGCTTAGATGGTGCATTCATCTCGAATATTTAATTACAGTTTTTGGATACATAGGTTAGATTAACTTACTAAAATAAAAGAGGTGCATTCGTCTCAAATATGACACTTAATAATTTTTTGTTTGGGAATTGTTAAATTGAGCTATATCGAGAGATACAGTTTTTGGAAACATGTGTTAGGCTAACCAAGTAGGATACACATGTTGTATTCGTCTCAAATATTTCACTTCACAATTTTGTATTCAAAGATTGAACTGAGCTGCATTACTTGATACAATTTTCAGATACATGAATTAGGTTATATCAGGTCAGGTTTCACTCCATAATTTTATTCTTAAGCTTGATAAATGACATTTCATTGTTTGAAACAGTTTCTGAACGCATGAATGTGGAACCATACTTGTCATACTATTTTATAAAGCCTGTTACATAAAATATGAATTGTTTTGTTCCATCAAAGCTGACAAATTTTTATTATACCTCGAATTTGTCAATCAAAGCAAACAATTGTTAAAACGAACATGTAAATCAAATGCTGTCTGTGACATCGGTACGCCAATGGCGTCGAGATCCCCTCGATAACACGAGAATGGAGTTTGACGTTTAATCTTGTTGCCTTCTTGGTCACTAGAGATGTTTAATCCCCAACGTCAAGAATCCGGAGCATACCCCCGAATTTGCATCGTTGCTCGAACACCGATGATTCATCTGAAAGCCGATTATTAATTAGCCTCTTATATCGGTTTTATGTAACTTTCGTGTTATTCTTCTAACTACGAATATTTGCTTTATGCACATAAATGTAGTACACATAATTTTATTTAACAGTGAAATAACCTAAATTTCTGAAATATCAGTGTGTCAAGAACAGTTTCTTTCTACTGCCAGAGTCGTGAAAGTGATTTATTGAAAATGATCGTATAAAATAGTTATGTCTGTGCATATAATGTCCGTACAAAGTTGTAACATATACTATAATTAATGTCATGGTTCTTGAGTAATAACCGCAGCAAATGAGCAAAGCAAGTATACAAAACGCATGAACTATACATTACACGCAGAAGATCCCATGATACATGTACAGTAGGCAAACTATGTAAAATATTAGAAACCAAAGTAACACTGCAAAACTACATATATTTGCGCGATAACCCGCATTGCCGTGTCCAGTGTCTCGCGAATTTTTTCATGGATACACGCAGTGTATATACATGTGTACATTTTAAGCGTGCAGCATAAATCTGTAAAGGCGTTAAAGTACATTAAGTTACGTCGTGCGCGTTAACTTGTAATAACCGAGTCGTAATTCTCCCGGCAACATTTACAAGCGGGATCGTGCGAACTCAAGCCAGGTGTTTACACTGCGATAAAACAACTTGTGTTCTCGCGTTCCTTACGGAAACCACGTGTACAAGGTTGATTCCAGCCCTCTTCCGGATGATCTGGATGATGCTGCGAAGCATTTTAATGTCGCTGCACATTCGAAAGAGGCTGTCGACCGATCTTGTCGCGTGTCAACTTAATCCAAGTTATATACCGAGGACCGGAAAAAGGTCGTGTCTATGGGACTCGGTGATGTACGAACAAGTGGTCGAAATTTATTGTTCTGTGATATCGGGGCTTTTAATAAGAACTGGACATTTTTGAGGATATTCAGATTTTTAGATTTTTAGGTTTTTAGATTTTTAGGTTTTTAGATTTTTAGGTTTTTAGATTTTTAGGTTTTTAGATTTTTAGGTTTTTAGATTTTTAGGTTTTTAGATTTTTAGGTTTTTAGATTTTTAGGTTTTTAGATTTTTAGGTTTTTAGATTTTTAGGTTTTTAGATTTTTAGGTTTTTAGATTTTTAGGTTTTTAGATTTTTAGGTTTTTAGATTTTTAGGTTTTTAGATTTTTAGGTTTTTAGATTTTTAGGTTTTTAGATTTTTAGGTTTTTAGATTTTTAGGTTTTTAGATTTTTAGGTTTTTAGATTTTTAGGTTTTTAGATTTTTAGGTTTTTAGATTTTTAGGTTTTTAGATTTTTAGGTTTTTAGATTTTTAGGTTTTTAGATTTTTAGGTTTTTAGATTTTTAGGTTTTTAGATTTTTAGATTTTTAGATTTTTAGATTTTTAGATTTTTAGATTTTTAGATTTTTAGATTTTTAGATTTTTAGATTTTTAGATTTTTAGATTTTTAGATTTTTAGATTTTTAGATTTTTAGATTTTTAGATTTTTAGATTTTTAGATTTTTAGATTTTTAGATTTTTAGATTTTTAGATTTTTAGATTTTTAGATTTTTAGATTTTTAGATTTTTAGATTTTTAGATTTTTAGATTTTTAGATTTTTAGATTTTTAGATTTTTAGATTTTTAGATTTTTAGATTTTTAGATTTTTAGATTTTTAGATTTTTAGATTTTTAGATTTTTAGATTTTTAGATTTTTAGATTTTTAGATTTTTAGATTTTTAGATTTTTAGATTTTTAGATTTTTAGATTTTTAGATTTTTAGATTTTTAGATTTTTAGATTTTTAGATTTTTAGATTTTTAGATTTTTAGATTTTTAGATTTTTAGATTTTTAGATTTTTAGATTTTTAGATTTTTAGATTTTTAGATTTTTAGATTTTTAGATTTTTAGATTTTTAGATTTTTAGATTTTTAGATTTTTAGATTTTTAGATTTTTAGATTTTTAGATTTTTAGATTTTTAGATTTTTAGATTTTTAGATTTTTAGATTTTTAGATTTTTAGATTTTTAGATTTTTAGATTTTTAGATTTTTAGATTCTTAGATATTTAGATTTCAAGATTTCAAGATTCCTAAATTAGCAAATTCTTAAATTTCCAAGTTTCTAAATTTCTAAATTCCTACATTCTCAACTTCCTAAAATTTAAAATGTTCATAAAGCTATTTTTTCACCGTCATTCAAAGTTCAGTTCAATCAAACTTCTAAAAGTTCAAAATTTCCAAACACCTACATTTCCTAATTCTTAAGTTTCCAAGTTCCTATATTTTCAACTCGCCAAATTTCCAAGTGTTCATAAACCTATTCAAAGTTCGATGCAATAAAAGTTCCAAAAGTTCATCCTACATTATCCCCTTCGGATCGACCATCAAACGCAGAAGGTAACAGTAGAGGTTCTCCGATCAAATATCCAGCAATGTCCACGTTTGTCCTTGATAATCGGTAGAGCTGAACGTAACTTTGTTCCGTCGCGGGCGACACTTCTTTTTTTCAGTAAAAGCTAATCAGTAACGTGCATATAAAGCCGCGCCCAAAGCGACACTCCTCACTCTGATTGGATTAACCCGGGATGAATGTCAAGTTACGTTGTCGGTCGTATGCACGGGATCGCTTGGATGTTAATTGTATGAATATCGCATGAGCGAATTTATAAATCGGACCAGAGGTGAACAATGCGAGCCGCGCCACAGCTCGGTTCTCGATTATCGTTCGATAATGTCAAACGACGTGAAACAGGTCCCCGATTACATGATATTAACGACGAGATCGGCTGTTATACACCGGTATACCGGACGTTAATGTTATCTCGCATCGATCGTTATCTAGGATTTATATTTATGACATCGACCCGTGATTTATGAGCATCTCCGGTGGGATTATGATCGTGAAAAAATTTATGGAATCCCTTAATTACGCAACTGATACTGAACTAGACACCTTAAAGGGCCACTGTGTTTTTTATTTATTCATGTTAATGTCTTTTGAAATTTCTTGTTGGACGTTTTTGGAACTATTACATTTATTATGGTTATTTGGGGTGGTACTCTCTTCGATTTAATTTTATTGCAAATGAGGCGTTTTACTTAATTTTATTGCAAACAGTACAAAATACTTTAATAATTTAGATTTTGATTTTAGTATTAGGAATTTAATTGCAAAAGTATTCAGTTTTGAAATTTTGGGGCTTTAAAATTTTGAAACTTTGAAACTTGTATCGCCTTAATTCGTCTTCGGGTATCTTCGGAACTCCTCGTGTACTACGATAACTTAGAGGGCGCCATTAATCAAAAATTCCCCATATGAAATTAGAACTAAGAAAAACTTATCGTATTAATATTATACTAGCATTGTAATAGTAAAAGTGATCAATAACCCTCAAATTATAATTAAATAATTAATAAAAGAAAACTCTAAACAAGTTTTGCACGAAATTTCGTAAATGTCACATCAAGTTAGAGGAAAAATTGACAACATCCGATTAGATGATTAAATAGTTCTGCAGTGAAACGCGAGATTGAACACCTTCTGTTTGATATTACTGCAGAGTAATGTGTTGCTAAATTTAGACTGGATTCGAGTTCAATTCGTACAAAACGGGGCTCGATCATTCGAACAAAGTTTACAATTATCTGTTACGTAATACAGTGGAAACAAACGAACGTCAGCTGGAGAGATTACTCATTTCAGATTGTATAACATTCGATTTTAAACTGGTCCGAAACAGGTCAGACAAAATTTGCATTCCTATGTAATATCAAATTACGTCATTGAACCGTGGTAATGTAAATAATTAACATAATTTTGTTAATAATTAACAAGGATTTTTAACAACGCTAGGATTTACTCGGATATCTCAGGATTTGGATTTTGGGATTAGGAAATTTGGGGATTTGGACTTTTGAGTTAGAAAATTTTGGGATTTGGGGATTTGGGAATTTGGGGACTTGAGAATTTGGTAATTTGGGAATTTGGCGATTTGAGAATTTGGTAATTTGGTAATTTGGTAATTTGGTAATTTGGTAATTTGGGGATTTGGGGATTTGGGGATTTGAGAATTTGGGAATTTGGGAATTTGGGGATTTGAAAATTCGGGAATTTGGGGATTTAGGAATTTGGAGGCTTAAGAATTTGGAAATTTGGGGTTTTGGGGATTTTGAGATTTGGGCGTTTGGAAATTTGGGAATTTGGAATCTACAGTGCGTCATCGTGACGCATTCCTAATATTTAATGTTAAGTATAATCGGTGTATATTAAAAATTGTGAAGTATCAAAAAGATTTATCTTCTAAAACCTCCATAAAGACCACGAGTAACCGTCTAAAGACTCATCCAGTAAAGATTTGTCCAACAGCCTATTTGGCATGTTACGAATTGCAAAATCGTATACAGAAAAAAATTGTGAAAAAGTCACTGCTATGTTAATCGTTCGATCAAACGGTAGTAATATGCAGATATGATGTACCAGATATGACCTAAATCACCATCGAGGCACTTGCTACTACGCGGCCATGTGGTCTTCACTGTAATTTATACTCGTCTTTCGCGTCCCATATACCGATTCCACGCCCATGTAACACTAACCCACGTACGAGGACTATAAGCAATTTAACATACAATTTCTTATCTTCTTAATCTTCTCCAACTTCATCAAGCACAACAATAAGTTACGTCGACCCCGCGTTACAATATCCTCCGAGTTCCCTTTCACAATGTTATTTCGTAGATTAACGATTTCCCACCTACTGACGGATCAGTCTGCATCATTTGCATGGGTAAATTGATAGAAATGTACTGCACGTTTCCGAGAAACCGTTATTTTTCCATTTATAGTCTATTGAAATCGCAAATTGCACGGTGCATGAGCCTCGAATAGTAATGAGATTCACTGAGATCACAGTTACAAATGACAAATTCATAAATCGTTCTATTCATTTATTGGATGTTGCATAATTCTGGGCAGGATTGTAATGAATATTTGTGTTCGAGGAATTCTGTGAATCAGAGAATTGGATGGGGAGAGTGTAGATATGTCTCGTAGTGTTTCGTAAGGAACTGCAATGTAAAGACAGGGATTCTATCATTCGTATGGATAAGTGAACGTTAGATAGAACGGTTACAAATTCTTGAATCTTCAAATGCTTAGACGTTTATTTTTCTATGGTTTCAAGTTTCAATACTTCCTAAATATTATCAACTTCTCAAATTTTCCAATTTCGATGTTTTCAAATTCCCAAATCTCCAAATTCCCACATCTCCAAATTCCCAAATTTCCAAATTCCCACATCTCCAAATTCCCAAATCTCCAAATTCCCACATATCCAAATTTCCAAATCTCCAAATACCCACATATCCAAATTCCCACATCTCTAAATTCTCAAATCTCCAAATTCCCACATCTCCAAATTCCCACATCTCTAAATTCTCAAATCTCCAAATTCCCACATCTCCAAATTCCTAAATTTCCAAATTCCCACATATCCAAATTCCCACATCTCCACATTCCCATATCTCCAAATTCCCAAATCTCCAAATACCCAAAACTTCAAATTCCCACATCGCCAAATTCCCAAATTTCCAAATTCCCACATCTCCAAATTCTTAAATCCCCAAATTCCCAAAACCCCAAATCCCTGAATCCACAAATCCCTAAATTTCTAAACCCAAAACTCCAAATTCCGAAATTCCCAAATCCTCAAATCCCCAAATCCCCAAATCCCCAAATCCCCAAATCCCTAAATTTCCAAACCCAAAAGTCCGAATCCCCAAATCCCCAAATATCAAACTCCACATCCAAACATACCCGAACCTCCCAACTTCTAATCTCTCCTACCGTTCATTCAGTCACTTCTAGTAGTAATTTCAAAGAAATCCGCCGCAATCGTTAATGGACCACGTATGTACAAAACACTAGAAACTAAAAAGGTTTTCATTTACCGACACGTCGCGCATAGCGGTCCTCAATCGCATGACGCGTCCGGATCGCCCACGAAGTGGTGCTCGATTTCCGGTGCACTCGAGCTGTCTCGATTCGAAAACGGGACGACAAAGTGCAGCTGAGTTTGTTGAGACTCGACAGGGCTAAATTTATGCTGTGACAGCCATAATTTCACGGCGGTTTTACGCGTCCAAACACGTGTCCCATCCACGCGTGTTGTGGCTTACTAATTCGTCTCGCATTCGAAATCCACTTGATTCAATCACGTCGCGGCCTGTTTGCGCAAACGTCGCTAAGTAGCCACGTGTGTAAACACCACCTATGTTTTGACTAATTATTCTCTATAAATAGTTGTACCGGTTCATTGGAATTTTGGTTGTGATTCTGCGTGCCTGAGCATGGACAAATAGAGGAACATCGCCGTTTGCATCTTTAACATTCTCCGATTTATGCTTGTTTGATGTTTCTTGAAGTTTGAACGTCTTTCGAAGTCCTCTGTATATTTGAATGTTGAAAGAGGCTTTGAATGTTCGGGACTGTGGAAGAATTCTGATTTTCTTTGCGGTTTTATTCGCGGAGGTTGTTGAGTAATATTTTAGCTAAGTTCAGTGATCATGAGTGATGTGGTGTAAGACGAGGTAGAAAAATGCTTGAAACGCTAACTAAGTTCGGTTTCAAAGATATTATATATTTTATATATGCCGATTCCGTGGGCGAAGTAAAGTCCTCAAAAGAAGGATGCCTTTCCAAGGTCTGTGGACGAACGCCTTTTCCAAAGGTCTCTAAACGAATGCCCTCTTCCCGTTCCGCGAGGTTTCCTAGTCCCCGCGAAACTTGAGGCCCTAGGGTTGTTTTATGGCCCGGACGTCAGGCCTCTACCCCGCGATGGTCGTCGTAGGACGGCCATGTGCCCGTCGTCCCTGCTTTGTTAGGGTGGGTCACTGGGATTTTCTAACAGTGGTCGTTGGAGGAAGACATTGGAGCGCGTTATTATGGGTAGCTTGTTAGTAGATTTAAGATGATTATTATAGTTGCACAGACATTAATTTTTCAAGTTTCTGAATTTTCGAAATTAATAAAATCCTGAATTTTCAAATTAATCCTCAAAGTCAGAGCTTAAACTTGCAATACTCTTGGTTTCCAAGTTTATTAATTTCCTAACGTCTCAAGCTTGAAACTTCTTAATTTTTGGGTACATAAACTTTCAAATTTCTCAAAGTCTTAAATATGCAAATTTCTAAATTCCCAAGTTCTCAGACTTCTGAATTTCCAAGGGTCTAAGTTCTCAAATTTCTCAGGTGGTCCAGAGTTTAAGTTTCTAAATCTTCAAATTCTCAAGTTTCCCAAATTCCTAAATACCCCTTCTAATCCTCTAAACTTCTCAAAACCTAAATTTCTAAATTCCTAAATCCTCAAGTTTCCAATTTGTCAAGCGTCCAAATTCTTAAATTTCCTAAATCCCTCAGCACCCAAACTTCTGATTCCCTAAATTCCTCAAACTCCAAATTCCTAAACCCCCAAATCCTCAAATTTCCAATTTTTCAAGTGTCCAAATTCTAAAATTTCCCAAATCCCTCAGCACCCAAACTCCTGATTCCTTAAATTCCTCAAGTTCCAAATTCCTAAACCCCCAAATCCTCAAATTTCCAATTTTCCAAGTGTCTAAATTCTAAAATTTCCCAAATCCCTCAGCACCCAAACTCCTGATTCCTTAAATTCCTCAAACTCCAAATTCCTAAACCCACCAATCCTCAAATTTCCAATTTGCGAAATATCCCAATTTCCTAGCTTTCTAAACGTCTAAACATCCAAATCCCAAAATTCCTCCCATATCGATTCCTCAAATCCCCAAAATCCAAAATATTCCAGAACTCACATATCCACATACCTAAATCACTCCCCCAATATCTCTAACAGCCACAAGACTTTTATACAACAATTAAGAAAATTTTATACCTTCATTACCGCAACAATATATTTACCTCAAAATGCACGTGCAAACGAATAAAATTTTATGTTTGGAGATAAACGTTAAGTCCGAGATCCACGAAATTTATAGGCAATGAAACTGCTCGATATTTCACACTTTCCTCGCGTAAAAACACGATATACTCGGAATCATGGTTCGTGGTCAGACGGACGATAAAAATCGAAGATATTTATCACGGATACCGATGCAACACGAGCAATGTGCCTGACAAAACGAGCGTAACGCTTTCCATTATTTCTGTTAGCTCTGATTGCTTCCTCATTGAGGACACGTAAACGCATCATTGCTTCCGTGTCATTCCTATTTCCTTTACAATGCGGTGTTTTATTACTTTATTACCGATACACTGTTCGATGTTGCACTTATTGGTATTGCCTGTCTCCGAGGTAATTAATGTAGCGCTTGCTTAAGTATTAGCTACAATTATTCAACTAATAAATACGTCGGGGCTGGATATATGACCTGTCATTTCTGTATGATTTATTATAGTTAGGTAGGAACATATTTTATAAAGTCGGTATTACTTCTCCTTTCATTTTTAATTAAAATAATACGTGTACCGAAGATTTGATCAAATTAGCGATTTTAAAATTGATACATGAATGCATTGGATAAAATTGTTGTAAAAATCTATCTTATTATTATTTACAGATCACTTTTGCGTTTGCTTTACAGATCACTTTTTGCGAGATATTCTTCTTAATTACGTGACGATATCCCCATACTTTTTCTGCATCAGATCAATCGATAAAATGTTTTGCACCAATCTGTACATCACCGAACGCGTTAATGTAATCACTTGCAATTAAACCGATTACAGTATGCAATGGTGCTTAAAGTATCCAATAACCTATGCAGCGATAAAGTTATTAATTACTCGATCACAGCACGAATATATCACGAGTCAAATAGGTGCTTAAATAAACTACCGCCATTTTGTTCTCCAACAAGGTGCAATAAATCGATGTCAAATTATCCGTTTTTGTTCGCAGTGTTTCTGGAGTTGCAGTGGACACCTCATCGATGGTATTTTCACGGAACCGACCTTGGAAAGGGGTTACAATCTGGTCGCTACAGTTCCGAGAGGTGCTTTGGCTCTGAACGTGACACAATTACGTCACACGGAAAATTATTTGGGTAAGACAGTAGTTTATATTCTGCTCTACTCGTCAGACGACTGAAATACGATGGCCTCGGTGCAAGTTCAATGCACGTCGAAAACGCGACAGGTGACCGTGAAGACATGTGAACTTAACCACGGAAGTGTGGCTGCAAATTTTGTGGAAAATAAATAAAATGTGAAACTAATATTTTAACCTTGCTTTCATCTAATATTTTAACCTTGAAAGCAAGAAATTTGGCGATATTTAATTAACCTTTTAGCATATCATGTTCTGTATGGTAGTTTCATTGACTGCCATCTAATTATTGCTACAACGTGTAGACAACTGAAGAGAGTTAAAATGTTAGGTACATTATGTACAATCCTTGATTACACAGATTACAATCGAATTGGATTGAACGAAAATTATAATGAAAATATAAGGTAGTTTGACACATCAATGTGCGTCGCGAGTGCGTCATGACACTGCAATGCAAAAGATTGAGGTTAGTTTACACGACAGAGATATGTAAAATCACAAGTCGTTTTGAAGTTCGAATATTTTAGAGTACTATTTAGAGTGTTTTAGAAAATTTATTAAGTTTCAAACCTTAAATTTTAAAGTTCCAGCATCATGCAGTTTGAAGAGTAAAGTGTTCCAAAGGTATAAAATTTAATAATGAAAAAATTAACAAACCCTAAAATTCTAATGTACCAAAGATTCTAAACTCTAGGTCCCAAACAACATTTCAAACTACCAAAATCCTAAAGTGCAAAAATTAAAAAATTACAAACTTCCAAAATTGCAAAGTGTCCAAGATCCAAAATCCTAAAATTTTTAAATCCCAAAATGTTAACATCTCAAAGTCCCATAATCCCAAAATTGAAAAATGTACTATTTCAAACTTCCAAGGTGCAAGTCCCTATACAAATCGAAGTACAAACGAGAATATAACGAAGTACAGAATATTGAATCAAACTGATACGTGGAATCTCGTTTTCACAGCAGCAAACTGATTCTAACGAACTGTGCCAGCGAGCAAATTGTTCGCGATTACGAGCAATCAGCTGCACCCGTTCGCGATCCCTGTTTATTATCAACTCAAGATCTCCTATCGCTGGAATTCGTGCTCCTCGTATCAACCCTTGTGTAATCTAATCTGTTGGGTTTTAAGTGGAACATCAAACGTTGTCTCTGGCAAATTGAGTGAAGCATCACTTACAAGTGTATTTACTTTGTTGTTGTATCTAGTTGATCATCTCTTTGATACTCTAATAAACGACTTTTTAATACAAATGTTATCTTAAAGCTGTCATATTTTCTAGTTTGTATAGACGTCAGAATATATCATTATTAATATATTCATGACTGTAGAATAACTTGTTTACATAATTCAAAAATGGAAGGAAGGTGGTAATTGTACTGAACTTCTATCTGATTATAAAATAACAAATTGAATGAATTTAAAAATCGATTTAGACGAATTTGGTGAAAGTCATTAGATTTGATGGATGATTACTGGTGATTACTAAGTGAGGATTAGGTGATTACTAAATGAGGTGATCACTGGTGAGGATTATTCTAAAGATGTATAATAAGAACAGATCAACACGATCGAAACATAATACGCATAATCCATTCTTGCAATACGAATAAACATCTAAAGCTCCATTATGTTCCATTGAACGTTTTCATATTCTAACCACAAGTCCATTGAACCTAAATAAATTGGTCCCTCAGATACTAATTTGGCGACCACACCAATAACTGTACACATTCGTCATATCCAATTAGCAGTCAATTTTGCACCCTGTATACGCGTCATTCGAAGCCAAAGACTCAACTTCTATTTCGATTATATTCTATTCGCTGCTATTCATGTACCCCTTGCTTCTGACATCACTTTGATATTCAACGTTGTTCCAAAGACCCTCGTTTCTCATTCTTATCGTCAGTTCAGTCGCTGATATCGTATGTAACGCGAATCCCATAAATTGCCAAGTTGATAGCAACCCTTTGTAAACGTAACTCCCGGCTAAACGATCGTTGCCAAGATTTTCACAATGGATCGAATCAACTGACGTGCGGTTAGATCTCTAAGAAGATTAAATAGCGCATAATAATCACTTTTATTTCAAGTAGTCGGCCATTCTTCGGCGTTCAAAGGAACTGGGTGCGAAATAACGCGAAACGATCCGAAGATATAACGACGTGATCTATTGCGGAATTAAAATGAATTCTCAACACTGATTTCGCAATTTACGTATTCGAAGTACGCTGAAACATTTATTGAGCTGCTATAAAAGTTATTAGCCATGTAGTTGTAAATATCTAATTAGTCACACATATTTTCTAACGGGGATAAGGACGATTAGAAAGAAACTGCGAGTTTCATTTTATGTGGATGGGAGTTTTTTGTTTTTGCTGAATGTTACGGAAATGGCGGTGCGCAGAAGTCATTGATATTAGGATTGGAAGTACAGGGATTGAAGATAGGAGAAATTTTTTGGATTTTGAGGATTTGGAAATAAGTGTATTTGAGAATTTAGGAATTTGGGGATTTGGGTGTTTAGAGATTTAAAAGCTTGAGAATTTGAGGTTTTGGAGATTTAGAGATTTGGGGATTTGAGGATTTGAGGATTTGAGGATTTGAGGATTTGAGGATTTGAGGATTTGAGGATTTGAGGATTTGAGGATTTGAGGATTTGGGGATTTGGGAATTCGGGAATTTGGGGACTTCAAGATTTAGAGATTTGAAGGTTTGGGGATTTGGGGATTTGGCGATTTAGAGATTTGGAAATTTGGAAACTTGGGAAATTGGGAAATTGGAAAATGGAGAAATTTGAGATATTGGGAAATTGGGAAATTGGGAAATTTGGAAATTTGGAAATTTGGAATTTTGAAATTTGGAAATTTTTGAATTTTGGAATTTTGGAAATTTGGAAATTTGAAAAAATAGAAATGTAAAATATGAATGTAAAATTTAAAAAACTAAAAAATTGTAAAATTCTAAAGAACTAAAAATGTACAATAATCACCATAAAAGATATCTAACTTCCCAAACATCAAAATCCACGATCGCACATGTAGGACAAAAACAACCCTCCTTTGTTCAAGAAAATATGTAGTCACATTGTGAATTCTGTTTGTACAAAGCGTTACTTATCACGATCGAATAAAGGGAAATAGATTGTAGCACTCTTGAAGTTTAATCAAGCCTGAAAAGAGTTGAAAGGCGCTCAGCATGAAGTCCTACGTACATGTCGATCGCTAAATGACTCGTCTATATACCTAATGTATCGTATCGCGTGTACTGTATCGATGATAACTGTTCCTCGTATGTAAACGCGGTGATTGACTCTTCGTTTCATTACGCGAATGATTATGCGGTATACTTCTTGACTCATTTCAAACGCGCGAAACAATTAGTAAATCGAATAGCTGAGTCACTCTATCTCTATGCATGCTTATCGGTAATTGATCTTATGAATGTGTCGTTTCAATTTCAAACTGGTCAGTGTAATTTTCTTGGGTATTTAGAATTCGATCTTTGATCGAAAGAGTATCAAGAATTGAGTGCAGTAAATTAGAGGTGAAAAATAGATAGAATCATAAGTTGATATTACATACATATTATTCTAACAATATTAAATTAATTAATTTTACGATTTGATCCGTTTATATCATTTCTTTTCAGCAATAAAGTTACAGGATGGCAGCTATTTGTTCAATGGAAACTATAGCATCAGTTTATCTGGCAAGTACCCAGCAGCTGGGACAACTTTCACCTATCTTCGACAAAGTAATCAAAATTTGGAAAGCTTCTCTGCTATTGGTCCATTGCAAGAACCCATCGATGTTATGGTAAATGTCACGTTCTTAGAAGTACCGTAGGTCGACGATTAACTGATGGATGTTTTAATCAGGTGTTGTATCAAGAACCAAACCCTGGGATCGTGTATCGATATATCATCCCTGGAAGTGTGAGTGTCCCTCCGAATCCACATCTTGGACCTAAAACAGGTGCTTAATCGAACTTTCCCTACAAACTTTAGATCTGGATATAAATTTATTAAGCCTCAGAATGTATCTCAAATGTAGCACATATGTTTCATTTTTATACATATAGAATTTTACGTCATGTTAAATTTTTATAGACCTAAATTATTTGAACTAAGACTATTGCATCTGACGATATTTCTTGTTAACATGATTTTACAAAAAAACATTCTGTTTTCAGTTTCGGCGAAACCTAGCGAACCCATTTTACCCTCCATCCCCCACAAAAAGTAAGAACATTATATTCAATCTCGTCAACTAATATATCAACTGATATACTTCATCAACTAATATATGTTATAAAAAGTAATTTGTTGTTTCAGAATAGAAACTGGCACCAATATCAACGAAGCAAGCCAGACATATCTTCCAAGGCGTTACAAGAAACGAAAATTTAGCTGGAAGGCAAGTGGTTTCACGGAATGTAGCAGAACATGTGGAGGAGGTATAAACAATACTCGATCAAATAAAACTGGATAATCCACATTCTCTTTCGGGAAAAGGGTTTCAGATGCTGAGGTACGTGTGCATACGAGAGCACACGCAGAATCAGGTGCCAGAGAAGAGGTGTCATGGTTTGGAAAAGCCGAGAGAAACGCAAATTAGATGCAACACGATGCCCTGCCCACCCAAGTGAGTAGATTAATAGTTTACAGTATATATTCTATTATTAGTAGTAGAATAATAGACACTACATTAGTAGAATAATAGACACAGAATGATTGTTCGTAACTTTTTTATCTTGACATCTTATAGGTGGAGACCTGGTCCTTGGGGCGAGTGCTCCGTCACATGTGGCAGCGGAACTCGCACTAGGGAGTTAGAGTGTGTACAGGAAATAAAGCCGTCGTTGATAATGAGAATAGCGGATGGAGCTTGCGTAGAGCCGAAAATTCTTCCCACGAACGAAGTTTGCGAAATTGCGTGTGAATTTGAACCGAAAACGTCGACCACGTTAGCGCCCCCACAGTGGAGTGTGGGGACATGGTCCCCGGTAGGTTTAAATATTGTATTCGGGTACTGAGAATAATATTTAAAGGCCTATGCAACCGTATACATCATTTATCGTTTATGTATCTAAGCAAGTGTGCTCATATGGATACTATATGATCATATAGTATACATATAAGCGTCTATACAATATGAGCATATGTGAGCATCTAGCTATATGAGTCTATCCATAATATGAGCATCTAGCTATATGATCATATGTAAGTGTGTCTGTTATCTATTATCTATTTGTTTATGCAAGGGTATTTATTACCTATTCATCTATGTGTATCTGTTGTGCAGCTGTGCACCTATTATCTATTCACCTATGCAATTTATTGTTTATTCATATATGCAAGTGCATCTATTATCTATGCAAGTGTATCTATTATCTACACATTTATGCAAGTGTATTGTCTGTTATTTATACAAGTGTACCACGTTTATAATATTTACGTCGAGCAAATGATTGAATTTACAAAGAAATAATTCCTTTTGTAAAGGACCTGTTGTAATAATTAAAGAAATAATTCCTTTTGTGACGCAGTGTTCAGCAACTTGTGGTCCAGGTAAAAGAACAAGAACCGCAACTTGCATCACACAAGGACCTCCCTGTGATTTCGAAGAGAAGCCTACTACTCAGGAGGCTTGCGATTTGGGACCCTGTGCCATCAAACCACAACAGACGAACGCCATTTTAACGAGACTTCAGAATCCGCAATGGTTGTACACTGAATGGTCAGAAGGGGTAACAGCAATTTTTATTAATTCGATTAGAAGCTTTGAAAGTTGGAGGAAGTTTGTGATCTTGAAGAAATTTGTAGTGTTCAGCTGAATGCGGAATCGGTGTACAAACGAGGAAGGTTTTCTGCGAGAAGGGACTAGACGATGAATTTTGTGAGGAATCCACTCGACCTGAGACTTCGAGGACTTGTTCGAGTAACAGGACTTGCAGTGGACAGTGGTTTGCGGGTCCTTGGTCTGAGGTAGCTGCTAAATTATATTTATTAGTTATTGTTTCCATCTTCTATCATATTATTTCTAGTATGTTAATACATTCGTTCAAATTAATCGTTTGTGACAGAAATTCTGTCAGAGCATTATTACAAGCTTTAGGAATTATGCCTAAAGAATTCATCTTTATCTAACAGAATGATTCATCTTCATCTAGCAAAATAATTCGACAAATTTATTTTCTGTACGTTCAATTAATTGAATTACTTCATTTGAGGTTACTATAAAACTCCCAGAAAGAAGTAATCCACCAAAACTATTTAATTCGTATTAAATACAAAAGCTATTAAACTTGATATATACTAAATGTTCATTCAATTAAGAAATGTTAGTTAATTTTTGTTTAGTGTTCTGCAGAGTGCGATTTAGGAGAACAGGTCAGAGAAGCAGTGTGCGTAACAACCCTCCGCGGCGCCCTACGGGTGGTTTTAGACATGAATTGCCCTGCGAGCAAGCCTGAAACGAGAAGAGCTTGCACGGGCCCACCCTGCACGTCCATGTGGTTCATATCGGACTGGACAGAAGTAATTGAATAATATTAAACAAAACAAGAAAAATATGCAAAATGTAATCTTGAAATGACTTCAGTGTTCGCGATCGTGTGGAAAAGGAATTCAGAAGAGAGAGGTAAAGTGTTTGAACAAAGATGGCGAAATGCCCGAACACCATGAACTCCATTGCAAGGAGAAGGATCGACCGATATCTCGAAGGAGTTGCAACGATTATCCTTGCAGGGAGGATGTGCACAGCGTCGAGAGTCATCATAGGGTCCTGCAAGTTCAGAACGATCCAGAAATCTCAAATGGTATGTCAAACCATTTAAATGGTACATGAAATTATTTTCACTAGTTTTTATGATCTATACAATTATTATATGTATTTGTGAATAATGGAAATTTAAAATATTATTGTTAGGACTTGAGGAAAATCCACTTTGCAAGGACACTATATCGAACTGCAATTTAGTCCTGCAAGCTCGTCTCTGTATCTATCAGTTTTACCAACAGCTGTGCTGCCTTTCGTGTTCCAGAGCTAAGCAAGAATTAGAATGACAATCTAACATGACCAGACAAACGTATTTTTAATGTAAATGTAACTTTGCTGAACGATTAAGAAAGTATTTTCATTCTGAGGGGTCTTTAGCTACATTATAAAGTACTAATTAATTCACCTGGGAATTCTTTCCATACATGTTAACTTCGTGCAATTATATTTTATTCTAGCTAAGTTATTAAAGTAGTAATTGATAAAGTAAAAAATATCGACTTCTTAAATTGTACTTCACTAGTTTTATGGCCCCTTCAAATGGGAGTATCTTTCTTATCTCGAATCGTTGAAGGTAACAATATTATACGTGTCGCTGTAGATTTACTTACCCTGCACTGCCTGATATAGATTTTAACGATTTTTTTTGTACATGAAAAGGTACTTACTGAAGAATGGTACTTATAAAAAAACATAGAAGAGTGATTTTTGTAAATTGTAAAGTAAAAATTGAAGGATATCTGAAAGCAATTTCTCTGGGAATATAGGGTTTGTAACCCTAATTATAATTACTGAAACATTTTTGTACGATAAAATTTGACGATACATCGTCGACGAGAAATTATAGACTGATCGTGTAAATTGTAATAAGGCAACATTGGCATTTAATTTGTATTATTTTTCGTTACACGTATTTGCCGTAATAAACTTTATGCTTTCTACGTTTTATTCCATCGATTTCCACCGATACCACACTTGGAATGAAAATCCACATGTACAGGAAAATAGAATTATTATTAAAAGAGACCAACGTAGAACTATTTACAACGTTATGGTAAAAAACTATTCTCTACGTCTATCGCGAACTAAGCAATAAATTATATGTACACACTTATCGTTTGGGATAATACAACAGTAGTTGTGTAAAACCAATCGTAAACATTTGAAATACATATCCCTCGTCTTACGTGTTCTTCTTCGATCCATTAAGATCCTAAGAAAAATGTAATATTTTAAAAAATTCGACGCTTAATGGATGAAGGGAACTCTGACAGGCAATCGTAGAACCGATTAAAAATTAATGATGCCCAACTAGTAAACTAAGGATTCCTCGTAAAATGTTCACGAGCTGTCTGTCTCCAAACTTTCTTGAGCAGTACTTGTACTATTGTCGTGGTTTTTGTACGCCGAGAAGAATGCCAGAGCTTTCATCAGCTGGTAGCTTTTGCTGATGGGGATGTTACTGTCGTACAAACTCTTCGAGGCTTTGCAATCCACGTAGAACCACCAGTTGCATTTTAGGATTGTCTGATCGAACAGGGTCGACTCGGGACACAGAAAGCTCTTCATGATCAGACCGTCGTCCGTTAATGCACAGACGTGAAACACCTGAAACATGGTGTTTGATAAGAAGAAAAATACAGAAAGACGTTACAAAATTTTAAATTTTAATAGCTATGGTTACTGACAATTTGTTAAGCGAAAAATAGTCTTGCATTTTATTTGCAAATACTTGCAAATTTTTAGTAAATTGCTTTATTTTTGATATGTCATCGTCAATAATATTTTACCATGCATCCAAGATCCTCATCAGCGTACAGTCCGGGGAAGTGTTTCTGATCACCGCAGTAGAAGCTTGTATCAGGTAGGTCCACTCTGCTGGCGAAGTTGTCGTCAAAATTTTTGTCGTAACCCATTGGATAGTATTCACGTGGTGCATTCATCACTTTAGTAGCTCCAGAATTGTATTTACTGAAAAATTTCAATTGAACTCTTCATTTCGAAATCAGTTAATTGAAACACGAATATAATGCTTCTAATATTCTTCAAATGACATTTAACTAACATAACACTTAAAATAAATTATCTTAAAAAATGTGACAAATTTTCTACTTATGCTAAAATATATAGTACACGGAAATCCATAGGTATAAGAAAGTGTATAAATTTCATCGTGAGATTACTTCTTATGAGGAGATGGCGTGGTAGTCGTGGTGCTCGTAGTAGAAGGACCCTGTTGCTTCCGCATAAGTTGCTGCTGTCTTAACAAAATCGCTGCTTCCAAAGCTTCCAAAGTGATATTACTAGCTTCTGCCAAAGCTTTCAAGGATGTTTCCATTCCCTGAATTGGTTCTAACGATGGCAAAGATGATGGCAAAGATGATGGCAACGATTGTCGTTTCTCGTTCTGTTGTGATAAGGCCTGACTCGATTCAGATGACACTGGATGGAGAGATAGTAGAGTCATTTCATTCACGGACGATGCAGCTTCCTCTCCAGGTAAAGGTAACTGAAAATAAATAAAAATTGTCATTAACAATTCAAAGTCAGAAATGAAATATACCTAGTCAGAGATATATTTGATCAAATTAAATTATTTTGCAATTCATTTGCATCAATTGCAGTTCAGTTCAGTTCAATAGAAGATAAGACTCATACTGCAAAAATGATTATGTAAACGTTTGTTATGAAAATATAAATTTATAAATTTAACTTCAATTACCTGACCGAAATCATCCTTGGACACTTCATTATCGGAGTCCTCTAATATAGCAGGATTATTGCTGATGCGATCGGTTAACTGTGCCGATGATGGCGGCATCGTGATGAAAGGAGGTAAGCTATCTCCAGAAGATGATTTCGATGGAATTTCAGGCTCGACGATACTTCCAGCTGGTGGAATTGCAGCTACGAGGTTCGGTAGCTTTCCTGGCACAGCTGCGACCGCCAGCATTTGTGGAGTCTAAAACGCATTTCATGTAATATGTAAAATCAAGTATTTCACGTAATAGGTAAAATATGTAAAATCATGTATTTTTACATCGCAAATTCACAGGATATGAAAATACACCAGAAGTATCGCATACTCTAAAATTAATTACTAAACATAAGCTATGTATTTAAACAGAATCAGTCACACTTATTTGACCAGTCACATTTATTTCAAGTTCTGCAAAGGTCACATACACATTAATTTTATAATATTTATACATATCACACAAAATTGAAAAAATATCAATTTCTCTCAATCAAGTGACAGAACTGTCATTCAACGTGTATAAACTCAACCCATAATCCTCAGAAATTAAAACTACACTTTTTTTTTCATAAAAATAAGTGCAACTTTACCTGATCCCTCTTCACCTGCATAGGAACTACATGTTGATGCCTCTTCTGCTGCGTAGCCAACTGCTGTTTCTGTTGTTGTTGCATTTTCTGCAACTGTTGCTGTCTCATAGCCTCCTGCTGCTGCAACCTCTGTTGTTTCAGCACCTGCAACGCGAACGCTTCTTGCTGCAACCTTTGTTGCTGTTTATGTTTCGCTTCTTGCTGCATCAACTGTTGCTGCTGCAACTGCTGTTGTTGCCTTAGCAGGTCTTGTTGAGTTGTCGATAAAGAAGGCGCCGGTACTGTTCGGAGAGCTGTGGAATTCTGTTGAACAACGAGCTTCTGGCGTTCCGGTTGCTGAGCAATCGGTCTTGCTGCTCCTGGTGGTAGAGGTTTGAAAGGAGGCACAACTTGGCGAGTACTTTGTGTCTGTTGTCTCACTTCTTCGCGATTGGAAGCCTTTGAATAGTTATAAATTTCAATTATTTATGAGGAATATTTATTTTTTATAGAAATTATAGAAGTATCAGAGTATCTCAATATTACAGGAAATAATTCTTTGGGAAAATGTAGGATCTGGATGGAAGAGCTCACGTTTGACAATTGTGTGCAAAATATTCTATTCACATATAAGACTGTTAAAAGCAAAAGCAAATGAAAGAATACAGAATGTCTGAAAAATATGCACGTATAATTTAATATACTTTATTGAATAACAGAAGTCAAATTGACAGAATTCAAGTTGATATTACATTAATCATTGTAAAATATTTAAAATGACCAACATTGTAGATCTCAAACATTTTTGTTATTTTTACGGATATTAATATTCGAAGTATTGTATTAGAAAATTGTAGACATGATTTTATATTTAATTATTGTACATCTTCATTGCTTCATGATTCACAAGAAACTGGAATGCAGTCTGAAACCTTGTCCTATATTGATCATCTATCAGTTTTTATATTGCCATCTCTATGGATACATGTCATATTTGCATAGCGTTGAACTAGAACAAACCTTGTACTAGGCCCTGTTATTGTTCTGGAAAGTCGTGCGATGAAAAGAGTAATCGACATTCATGCACTAATTACTGCAAGGTCGATCGTGTATCCTAGATATGATCAAGGTTAATCCAGAATATATCCGTTTCAATTGAAAGTTTTTTAAAGTAAAACAGCAAGTTTTAACAGTTTGAATTTTTAAAGAATCTTTGAGACAATCAACAAACTTCCACATGTTTCATTATTATTTATATTAAAATTTAATTGAAGATTTTCATCGTATACCAAGCATACTTTAGATTTCTATAAACAAAGGACTAGTTAATGCAATAATAATTTACGTCAATATCTTTCATGGAGGATGAAATTTAATTTTTACTAAGGAAAGTATTATTAATGTCTAATCTAATCTCTTAATCTAATGCAAAAGTGTTATATAACCGTGAGAATTACGATGATGTTTTTACATCTCTATCCATCCTAGAATTTCCTTGAACCAGATTATAGCAGATGCCTACATGCTGATTTATACGGATTAATGTCCAAGATGTAGACGTTAAAAATGGACTAAATGTCTCAGATACTACAAAATTCTTACCGAGCTAAGAGGTACATTGCCTCTGCCAGTTTGCACACTTCTCCTTTTGGCAGCTTCCACATTCGACAGTGACTGGGAAAAACCTAACTCGTCGCCAACGGAAAACCCTGAAAGTAAAAATAGTCTTTATTAAATTACATGTCATATTTTTACCAAGGATTTTCTTTATCTTCTAATATGTTAATCTCCTTTGCCATATGTAGCATATTTTGCATATTTGTAAACAGCCTGTATGTAACATATTTTCGAATATTTCGTTAATGAGGACCATTAAGAAGCAGCAAAAAACGGACCTGCCAGTTTTCAAATCATTCGAAGGTTAAGTAATCGTTGCACAACGGACACGCCACTTTTTTACATCGTATGAACCGCCGTTTCTCGTCGCGCCGTATTTCTACGTGTTGTATTTCCACGCGCCATATTTCTGAGCGCTGGAGTTCTACGCACTGTAATTTCTACACGTTGTAATTTCTACGCGTCGTGATTTCCACACGTCGAATTTCTACACGTCGAATTTGCAAGCGCCGTATTTTCATGTGTTTATATCTCCATGCGCCGTATTTCCACGCGTTGTATCTCCACACGCCGTATTTCTACGCGCCGTTTCTCCACACGCTGGAGTTCTACGGGCTGTAATTTCTACGTGTCGTGATTTCTACGCGTCGAATTTTTATGCATCGAATTTGCACGTGCTGTATTTCCATGCGTTGTATCTCCACGCGCCGTATTTCCATGCGTCGTATTTCCACGCGTTGTACCTCCACGCACTGGAGTTCTACGCATTACAATTTCTACGCGTCATAATTCCTACGCGCCAAATTCTTACGCGCCGAATTTCTACGCGTCGAATATTCATCGTATAAACTGAATTCCTTTGATCTCGAACAGTCTGTCTAATGTAAATTACGTTTCTGTCGAATGTCATCTCTCGGTGACATCTCGTTCAATATCTAGGCCGAGTAGCAAATGAAGTTTTTCCCGGTAAAAGTATAAATGTTCTGCACGGATAATTATAATTAGCCGGTCACGGTCGTTCACTTTTCGCTTCATTTTCTGCCAAACGAAATAGTTGCATGCCTTTCGACGCAGTTCATTTAATCATTTTGAAGTTGCTTTGAGGTAGAACAGGAATTCTCGAAGAAATAGAATTTTCAAGAAATATCGGCAGTATTAATAGTTTTGAAATGAATTTGTTTACATAGTTACAAACTTGAGATTGCGTTATTAAAACATTTGCTTTGTAATTTTCTCTTAGTAATTTGCTTTGCTTTCTTTGAAATTGATCTCGTGGCTGCCATGAATAAAGAAGTTTGAAATATTTCACATATGGCAAATTATAATTACAAACATACATTTCTTTCACTACTATAAGACAAAGAATTGGTCACCTCTATATACAAATAAATTTGACAGTAATTGTCCTCATTTTTCCACAGAACATAGACTATATGTACATAAAATGTTAAAACGTTCAGAGAATTAGTTGTTATATAACAATAGGTTGCATGGGGTGACGTTTCTTATTCCACAAAACCAGGTCACAGACAGAAATAGAAAGTATGTTATTACCAAGTGATTGAAAAAATAATTTTAGTGATCAACAGAATTGATTGAAATGTCCAAAGGCTACAATTTACTAACGAGTAATTAGATATTAGATTGTTCCAAATGTTAGTATTCAACAAATTAAGCGATTTCCCTTTCTTTTTAACGATTAAACTAATTACTATTAATAATATATAACATATTTACAGTTCTGTACATCATTTACAGAAAACGTGGCTTATAAATTATTTGCACGTTTGTTTGTGAAGGATGGCATTTTTCCGATGCAAAATCGACCAGTTGTTCCGACTCACCCAGGCCGACGTAACCTTTGACCCCTCCAAGATTTCGTACTCGAAATAGGCCGGACTTTTTGAAGGCGCAGTTAAGCACAAAACCAAAGTCCGATTGAAACACACACGTCCCTAGTGTCTCCCGCCACGTGCATCCTGCAACCAAACCGGAAGAGAAGAACACCATGGATCCCTGTTCCAACTGATTTCATCCCGATCACTCTCTCTTTCCAAATTTCGCCTCCATCGTAACTGCACGATCATTCACTTTTTCGATCCACTTTGCTCGCGTTTCTACTTTCACGATTTTACTTAAGATAACAATTTTGAAACTTTACGCAATTCTGCATGAAGCTGTTTCGGAAATTTTTCGTGAAACCCGTTTATTCGGACTCGTAAAATTTTACTTTCGCGATTTGATCTGTGATAAAAATTTGGAGTCACGACATGAAAGCAAATTAAATCGATTATTACAAAATTTTACAGATAAAGTCAGATAAAGTCAGAGAAAGTTCAGACCGGATTTTTAGAGCAAAAATGTGGAAGCTTCTTATGCGATGGAAAGTTGCATCGGTATGCAGATCTGGATCGGTTAACAGGGATTTGATCATCTCTTAAAATCTAAACTGAAAATGGGCCTTTGACACCCAGTTTATTATTTGAGTCGCTGATTTACTACTCTGTGCTATTGATCCTCGATAAAGCTGTTTTATCGCAGTTATACATTTATATCCAATAGTCAATTTATATCAAATAGTATATTAAATAAGATTAGGCTCATATAGTTATCAGAACAAATTTGATCAAACGAAAGCTATATAAGGTTGTTTCTTTATAATTTTCAAACGTGTGATTAAATGTTACGTATCATGAATATTCAGGCTATTCATCTAAGATGGATATTGAATTCGTAGTATTCCTATGAAAATTAATGGGAATGATAGTTCTGCCTCTATTTGCGATTCTCCACGTGACAAAAGACACGAAAGTCGAAGAGAGTTCAAACACAGATTGTGTACACTCGAATGTGCAAATTGGAGTTCAGGTTCTCTGTAACCAATTCTAAACTCACATCACGCCTTTTTCTTATACGAGGATTTCTTCTCCTTAGATCTTTTCCATTTTTGGTTTACTCACACATCTTTTCTATATTTAGATTAATAATAGATCTTTTCTATTTTTGTATAACCTTCACTGCTGGATGAGTACGATTTTTATAAACATGACAAGCTTTTATTAACCAAACTAGTCAATTAATAACTTATTTTTGAAAGTATTCTCTAAATCAAATATTATTAATTTAGGATCGTGAGAAGTTAACATAAGAACTTGATAAGAATAAAACCTGAACAATACCTGACAATAACAAAATAATTTAATTTTAACAATGTGTAAACTCTTGCAAAATTTCAAAAATTGATAAGATTTAACAATCCGGTCAGAAAACTTAAAAAATTGATGGGACTTAATAATCTTGTCAGAAAACTTCAAAAATTGATAAGACGTAAAAATCTTCTCAGAAGACATACAAAATCCGAAGAAATAAAAAATCTACAAATAAAAGTAATGACACATAAACTGAACATGACACATAGTATTTCTTTCAACGTTAAGACGCAGGGTTAATGAATGTACCCAATGAACATCGCGCCAAAACTTTCCAAGGAACGTCCCAAAGTTTGTGAAAGGTACTTCCGGAATTCATGTTCGGAGAAGATTTGCCGGATCTTAGGCGTGCCATTGGGCCACAGCCTACTGACCCACTTGAAAAGTCCAACTCGACCATTCGACCACATTCAACGTCCACCAAGAGTTGTTCATCGTCCTCCAAAATCTGTTCCGCCTCTCAGAAAAGGTCGCGATGACGCTTCTCTTTCGACAATAAAGAAGGATCAGTTACGACATCCTGCCGATTCTATTGAGCAATTTTACGGGGCGAGGTAACAGAAATTCACATTTATTTGATATAATTTCCGACGAAATACATTTCGTCAGTTCATGGCCCAAATAATGAAACTGTTTCGTGGCATTCTATTCATTCGTTGAATGTGTTAAACTTGATGTGTTAAACTTGATGTGTTATGAAAGGAAATAGTTGTTGCATCATCGTGATCGCAGTAAAATCGATTGTATGGAGATTTGATTCCTGGGAGTTTGGTGCAAAGGTAATTTAGTGATTGGTCTCTTTTTTAAGGTGATCTTGGCCTATATTCGAAGATGCGGAGGAATTTTTGAGGTTTAAAAAATGTTATATAGGAAAAGTTTTGGATTATGGTAGTTTGAGAATGTTAGAAGTATAGTGGTTTGTATGGTGACGCATTCGATTTCTATGTACTTTGATTTCCACGCGTTTTATCTTCACGCGCCGTATTTCCACGCGTCATATCCCCACGCGCTGGAATTCTATACGAGTACACTGTAATTCCTACACGTTATAATTTCTATGCGTTGTGATTTCCACGCACCGTAATTCTACGCGTTGGTTACTTCACGCGCTGTAATTCCACGTGTTGGTTACTCCACGCGCCGTAATTCTATGCGTTGGTTACTCCATGCATTGTAATTCCATGCATTGATTACTCCACACGTCGTAATTCCACGCGTCGATACTCCATGCGCCGTAATTCCACGCGTTGGCTACTTCACGCGTTGTAATTCCACGCACCGATACTCCATGGGCCGTAATTCTATGCGTTGGTTACTCCACGCATTGTAATTCCACGCGTTGACTACTCCACGCGTCGTAATTCCACGCGTCGATACTCCATGCGCCGTAATTCCACGTGTTGACTACTCTACGCGTTGTAATTCCACGCACCGATACTCCATGCGCCGTAATTCTACGCGTTGGCTATTCCAAGCGCCGATACTCCACGCGCCGTAATTCCACGCGCCGATACTCCATGCGCCCTAATTCCACGCGTTGGTTACTCCACGCGTAATTTCACGCGTTGGTCATTTCACGCGCTGTAATTCCATGCGTTGGCTATTCCACCCGCCGATACTCCACGCGCCGTAATTCCACGCGTCGATACTCCACGTGCCCTAATTCCACGCGTCATAATTCCCACGCTTCAAATTTCTACGCATAGAATTTTCACGCGCCATATTTCCATGCGTTGTATCTCCACGCGCTGCAGTTTTATGCACTGTAATTTCTACATATTGTAATTTCTATACATCATAATTTCCACGCGCCGAATTTCTTTGCGTCGCATTTTCACGCGCCATATATCCTTGCGTTATATCTCTACGCACCGTATTTCCGTGCACTGTATTCGCACGCGTTATATTATATTTCTACATCTCAAATTTTCTTTCGCAATATTTCTATACGACGTTCTCCTACGCACCACATATCCACGCGTTACATCTATAAACCCATTCGACAACTCAATAATTCAGAAAAATAAAATATCTCATTTATTATCCCACGTTTCGTAAAATGTTTCATAACGTCCAAAGCGAGTAGGCGAGTCGAAAGAAGTGACGAAACCAAAAATAAATATTCATTCACGTAGAAAAATGAAAAGGTCTTTGTCCGTTTGTAAACGTTACAAAGAATTAAAGACAGAGAATCGTTTGGAATAGGAACGTACGCGACAAAAGAGACAGCTCGTAGAAATTATGTTATGCTCGTTGAAGCATAGTGAAATTTTCGAACGAGAAAGCTTAACACATCCAGGCCCACTCTTTGACCGAGTTGTTGTACAGACATGCGAGACTATTCTTAAAAGAATTTAAGACATATATTTTTTTTATTCTTTTTATGATATTCTCAAATTTGTTGCGTTTTGAGGTCTCAAAACTTTCGTTGCTGAAAGTAATAAACTTACGCAATCTTCTTTTGCAATTTTAATGACATCAGCGTAAAAAATCACTTCTTAATTTGTGTTTCTTCACTTTTCAATTGATTTATAGGTTATAGCGTTTATTAAAACTTTCGCAATTTATGAAATACATGTAAGTGCATATGGCATTTAGTTGGACATTTACTATCGTTGCTTCAAAGATTTATTGTACTTTTCTAATTAAAATTAGAATTAACATTGAAGAAGATATTCTTAAACGTCGCATCAAAAGTCGTACATTTTCTGCCTGAATGCATGAAGTATTGTGTTTTAAAGCAATTTCAGGTTATTCATGTTTGAAAGATTGTTGGAAATGAAGTTATTTCAGCGATGATAGGAAAATTCACGATACTGCATTTCCTGTTTCAGTATTACGTTCTTCGTAGCTCGTGCGGTAATCATCGAAGCAATCAAACAGAAATTATTTTGCAAGAAAAAGGACAAAGAAGAGATAATCGTCGAGTTGGAATTTCGTTGCCCTGTGATTCGTTTTATTTCTGTCTCTAGAATTTACCGTATCCTGATCTTTTCATCCTGCTCGTAATACGTCGCGTGCACGTCGATCAATCGAAAATGAACATGTGAAAGAATCCTTTAAAAATATTGGTTTATACCGATATTTAATTATTTGAGTGTTTGGAAATTTAGAGACTTGGTGACAGAAATGTGGAAATTTAAAATTTGAAGAGTTTGACATCTAGTTATTTAGAAATTTGGTAATGTAGGGATCTGACTCTTTAGGAGTTTGAGACTTTAAAAATTTGATAACTTAGAAATGTGGTCATTCAGAAATTCGGTTATTTAGAAATTTGGTCATTCAGAAATTCGGTCATTTAGAAGTTTGGTCATTCAGAAATTTAAAGTTTTAGAAATCTTGTTACTTAGAAAATTGGAAATGTAGAAATTTGATAACTTAGAAATCCACCTCTTCAAAATTTGCGAATTTTATGAATTAGAAATTCAATTATACAGAATTTTGAAAATTTAGAATTCCATCAACGTAGAATCTTAGAATCCAAGTACCCTAAAATCCTCAACTATAACAATAAAAAAAATTCAAATTTTCAGAAGGTCACCCATTTTATAACTGGAAGGTCACAGAACCATTTCGTGACTTGTATACAATAGATTAAAATTCCCCAACGAAATATTACATCACTTAGAACGTGAAAAAGAGCAGGGTTAGCACCATACTCAAATCTCCGTTAAGATCGAGGACGATGACATTTGAGATACACAAATCGTAAGCACACTTTCACTGTTCATCTCGGTGGTTAACCCAAGATAATTGGACAATGCTAGACACGAAGATAAAATTCACTTTTCTTCATTTATCAGACTTCCTGATTAACGCGAAACAACGTAACGATGTTTGTTGCTCGCGCAACACTTTCTCACGAGCGGCCTTTACCTTTACCTTGAGAACGGCACTCCTCTCAAAGTCGCCTTCGTGTCGTTCACCAACCATTTGTTAATGACAACCTGCTATACAATTTGTCCCCTTATTAACTCGGTACACTAAGATTTTTGCTGTTGATGATAGATCTTCTTTGTCTTACTTTGAGTTTGTGTCATGACGCTTACTTCAGGCGTTTTTCAATTTTACTGGAATTTTTAATATACTTTTGGAGTTCGAGTGCAATTATTTGTATGGTCAACGACTGATAATAGACATAAAATTTCAACTTATAAAATCATATAAATTTTATATAGTCTGCTTACTATAATAAGTCTGTTCATTATAGTAATTCAATCAATAATTGTTCTACAAAAATACACTATACATTTAAACCAACTGTACATTTTAACCATTATTATACAGTCTGTTTATTATCATAATTCAATCAATAATTGTCTCACAAAAATATACTGTACATTAGAACCCATTGACAAATATAATATTTACAGTTAATCAAGCCAACACATTAATTCTTCTAATTAATAATCTTCCAACAGATTAAATTTAAAGGGACACAAACATTTCTGTTCATTTTCTTGTAACTCTTATTTTCAGTCAATTTATTTGAATTGTAAATGTAATTAGACTAATAAAGGATAAGTTAATGAGTTAGCTACTGAAGATGTTCCGACATTGAAAAGAGATTTAGTGGACGGTTACAGTCGTGTAGAAAGTGACCAGTCCGGAAACATTTATATGATCCGTGTTTGACCTGATTCCCTAAATAACGTCATCGTCGAAAACCTACTGGATCTATTATCACAATAAAGTGACAATTATCCTACAGAATTCATGCTCGTTTCGAAAGCTGTCTTCTTTTAAAGGTTTTATGTGGTCATTAATTTTTGGAAAGTAGTCACCTACTGCTAATATGTTGCCATTAATAAAACTTGAATATCAAATGTTGCAATGATTTGCGTTCATTAGCATATGTTTCTTTGGGAATTTCGGTGCTTTAACACTTTGGAATCTTGAGAAAATGGGATACTGCAGTTTAGGAATTTAGGAATTTAGGAAATTAGGTATTTAGGTATTTAGGTATTTAGGTATTTAGGTATTTATGTATTTAGGTATTTAGGTATTTAGGTATTTAGATATTTAGGTATTTAGGTATTTAGGTATTTAGGTATTTAGGTATTTAAGTACTTAGGTATTTAGGTACTTTGCTACTTAGGTACTTAGGTACTTAGGTACTTAGGTACTTTGCTACTTAGGTACTTAGGTATTTAGGTATTTAGGTATTTACGAATTAGGTATTTTCAAATATAGGAATGTTAGGTTCGTAACTTTGAGACATTGCAATTAATAAAATTTGACATTTTAGCATTTTGAACAATGGTCCCTGAGACTATGAATTTTATGACGTCAAATTTTAGAACCTTGAGTAGAATCTTTAAATTTAAGAATTGTTGAAACCTAATTGTCTGGAAAATCCTAAAACCTTATCACTGAAATTCTGTAAGTCATTTTTGAAAATAGATTACAGCATTAAAGAATCCCTACTACAACATGCACACAGCAAAGCTCTAAAAGCCATAATTGAAAATCCTAGCACTCCTAACCTATTACATAAAATTTTTCTAAAATCAACACATCAATAAATATTGCCAAATCCACACGATCGAAGTTATGCAGATATAGCATCGCGTTTTCGTAACGAACCTGGTAATTATCACCGGATCTCCACGTGAAAGTCATTCTTTCGATAAATACAGAGAAAGTTTGATCCCGCGAGCACGTTACGTATAGTATATGAATTGACACGATAATAACGACCAACGATGACAGGGAAAAAAAGTATTGCCACGACAGTTTTCACGATATACCGACCTCTAGTGACCCAGATTTTCCCATTATACCTTCGCCCATTATACCCAGATACTGATTGAAAATATGCAATTACGAGGTTCGATTTCAATCCCCTTTCTCTGAGCGTGTCCGTAATTGACGACAGAACTTGTACGTTCTATTTAACCCTCCGATTCGATTTGTGTTTTTAGCAATGAAAACCCGATGCTTTTGCACTTTCTAGTTCGCGCCGATGCGTACGATCGACTTTACTGTTACTTTTCCTCCTCGGTGATTCCGTTCGAAACGCTGCCATTCAATGCCTTATTGCACATCGTTTTACGCGGTGTGTCGTTTGCATGAAACTCTTGTTATGTGGAAAATATACACTCCAGGCTAACAGATTTGTGAGGTGTATACTAATGAAGATTCCTAGTCGGGAGAAACCTAACCTAACACATTTTACGGAGAGGTTATGTTCGGAATAGCAATATGGTTTGCTTATCTTCAGAAAAAATGAAAATAACTGTGAAAGAAATATTTGGATATTCGGATTAATTGGGAAAAATATTTTAAGAGTCGCTGTTAGCTATATTATACTTTTCTAAATATTTATTATAATTTTAGAGTTTGAAGAATTTTAAGTATTGCTTTAAAGTTAGGTAGTTATAACGAATTCATAATTGGTTGTTAAATGAGATTCTTCAAGATAATTAGCTACAGAAATTGGTAGAGGAAATTGATAGAAGAAATTGGTTTCTGAGGAATTCAGGTACACCTACAAACTTGTACAAGCTCAATTATTTACACAATCATTCATGATTGATATTATCATTAAAACGAAACGAAAAATCCAACAAAAAAGATTATAATGCTTATAGTCGAAATCATTCAAAGTTTATTAAGACATAATGTGAAAGAAGAATCGAAACTAAATTTTCATAATATCGTCCGTATTTTTGTAGGATCCTTTTTACTCGCAACACGATTGTCACGCCTGAGTTGTCGGGAAAAAAGCCGTGAAATTATCGAAACTTTTACTGACACGCGAAGTATCATGTAGAAGCTCTGAAATACGTAACATCGCCCTGTATTCCAACATTCGTATTTACATTGGACAGCGAGAGAAATAGCGATCACCCTGAAGACGATTAGTACCGTAAGAGAAACGATAATTATTCAGAGAGCAGTAAAATAATAGTAAGATCAGATAGGGAAATTTGAGCAGAAGATCTAGTGCAGTCAGTCAAAGATAAGTCGAGGTTCAATAGCACAGAATGCTTTGATACAAAGCGTAGATAATTGAAAGGCCCAGATACCTGCAAGGTAACCCAGAAAGAAAAGGGTCCTTTGAACAACCAATTTCCAATAATTTATTCCTTGTTCGAAGCTTCAATATACTGCTTCTTTTGAGAATAAATAAATATTGAAAACTGGTAATTAAAATATATATAATATTGTAATAATATAATCTTGGTACAAGCCTCGATATTAAAAAAAAATACTACATATGAAAATTTTCATACATTTCTTTAACATTTCATTTGTATCACTTACTCAAGTGATGACAAGCTTTGTATCACTTTGGTGATCTCGTAATGAGTCCTTAACTATAACTATAATTTAACTATAATTTATGAGTCCTTGATATAATAATGTTTTCTTAACATTCTGAATATACAAATATCCGTTTATGAATGTAAAAGTACCTCACATATTTTTCTCCATAAATATTCGTCATGACTGAGATCTCTAAAGTGCTTTCAAGCACGAACTTTTCTATCGAGACTTGCCACCAATCAAACAACCATGCAGCACAATTTCATGAGAAATCGTGACATGTAAACATTTGCACATGAATATCCAAGTATTAGATATGCACTTGGTAACGCAGCAACTAGCTTAAATAAGTATTCTAAAAGAAGCCAGTGAGCCAGAAACCTTATTTGATCGCTAGGGTCACGATCTCGGATGACAATTACATGACACGGTGTTCGGACTTTCATCTTTATTTTGCGAACCACATTTCGCGCTTCGCGTAATATCTTACGAAACGCTGCTCCAACGGTATTATAAAGAAAGAGACTCTTACTGCAGGGCATGAAGAATTAACTATATAACTCAAAAATTACAAAGACTAAATAAAATTATTTAGAAGACTAAAGACTAACTGAAATAAAAATTTTAACCAAGAAATCGTAGATCACTTATCAAGTGAACAACTTGTAATTACTGTATCATATATCGTATCACAGGAAGTAAATAGAAACTTGATAAAGAGATCTTTCAAAGATAAAGATAGAGTTAATAAAGATAGAATTTTTGGAACTGTCAGAAAAGTTTAGTCCTCTGCAATTTTTGCACAATAAAAGATCACCAGAGGATCCAATCAAAGGTACCTTTGTACCAAAATAATATTCTTGTAATTAAAATAATTGTTCAAAGTTATTTCTTGAACACCCATTTAAGTTAGAAGCTGCGTTTATCAACCAGAAACAAATCGTACATACCGACGACCACGAAGAGGAACAAGGTCGTGGCGATCTTCATACTCGCCGATCCAGTTTCGATTATCAGCCCAGAAAGTCCTTTCAAAACGTTTCCTTTTCGTTTATCAGCGAACAGAGACAATGATCAGTTGTTTCAAAACTGTTCAGAAGATCACCACGTAGGCGAAAACGTCCTTTATTGGCGATAGAGTGATAAAAAGGTACGACAGGTTACTCGATCCCGCGGACACTAATACTGCATGGATATACTCCTCGGAGGCGAACACGCGGGGCACTTTCAGACCCCATCTGGTTTCCAGGGACGGCTGAAGCTTGGCTCCACTTTCAAGATCCCCTCTCTTTCGTTCGTCGCACGACACACCATTTTTTCAACAATTTACATTAATATTGTAAATGAGTGTGGTGGTGCGTGACGCACGGGCTCTATGATTGCGGGACTTGTTTCGCCGGTTTTCTTTAAACCTTTGTATCAATTCTGAATGAATTTATTCAGTAGCGATAATAGATAGACGTGTTTGTTCATGCTAATTTTGAACGTGGTGTAAAAGTAAAGGGAAATCATTGAAGTGGACAATTTAGTGGACAAGAAACATTTTCCAAAATTTTATTAGTAATACATCACATTGGGTACGGAAGAGTTTCAGTACAGAATAGTTTCAAGATACATGAAGAATTAGTAAAAACTTTTGCAGCAGAATATTTGCAAGAACAGAGGGAAAGATTAACATTCAGGAAGACGAAGAAGAAGGTTTAAGAAGATAATCGAATTATGATCAGTAATTGTAGAAGGCACTTATCACCACTAATTGAAAAATGAAGAAAAGAAAATTATGACCAGGTAATAAAAAATTGTAAAAGTTCCAAGAAATTAATAAACAGGTGCAGTGAACATGAGACGGTCCTGTCAGGCCCCACCAAGTATAAGCAAGAAACGGTCTGTTCACGGCACAACTTCGATACGTGCAGGTCGAAGCGGCTATGAGTAAAATCCTGTCGAGGTGTCGGTGACCCACTCGGACGAAACGATAACGGGATCGTCGTGCGTTCATTCAGAGTCCAGCGAATCGATCAACTGGTTTTTTTTAAGTAGGTCTCTATAAAAGTATCGATAAACGCTGGCCATCAGCTGCGAGATTCTTCTCCCGTTTGTTTCCTCGAAAGTGATCGTAACTGCGCGAAGAGTCAGACTATTAACCCTTGCTATTAAGAGTCGATGTATTTGGAAATTGTAAGAAAATGACTTCCACCACTAATTAATTCACAGTTTGAAATTTTAATCAATTTTTTTGGAGGAAGTTTTCGAAATTTTTTAACCCTCCTGCAGATCGATCAAAACGAATTTTAATAATCAATACAATATTTCTCATCAGATGAAATAAAATAAAAATTTGATAAAAGATAGATGTTTTATAAATATACCTTCTTAACGGTTTATTAACATTAGGAAGCATTTTTAGTTACCACGGACAGTTCCGTAAGTACGGAAAGTTCCGTAGTGCGAATCGAGTGACGTAACAGTGCATTCCGTTGCACCCATTTTACAGAGAAATCATGCCTTTTACATGACTAAAGTGTATTGAGAAATTTGACCATGTTTTTCAACCCATCAAATTGTGGATGTTGCTGATTCAACCTCGAATTTTTTCGTATGAGCATTCTGGTATCAGGGAAAGGTGATCAAATTTATGCACTTTCATTTAAACGGATGGTTAGTTTGATGCCAGCACATTCTATAATGCACTTGACCACGCTGACACCAGAAGTAGGTCAAGGTTTAATCGCTACGTTCCTATGCAGGATGGATAACTGTTTAGCTCATCAAGTATTATTAGAATAAGAAAAAAATTGTTCAATAAACATTACTTCATGTAGAAAAAACTAATTATGAGTTTCTTCTAGGTGATGAGTATATGTGGAGATAAAAAATGGTCTACTTTCTTCGATGGAAGTTCATGCTAATTACAGGTATCATTGTCGTGGGAATATTTAATTAAACATATTTTTTCCTTACAGAAGCTATAAATCTCTTGAATTTTTATGTGTGTGATTTAAAATGATTCTGCAACGCCATCTGTTGGTTGGCGATAAAATTAACGGAAATAAAAATGAATTTTTTTATGAAAGAAATAACTTGCTCTAGCACAGATAGACAATGCAAGCAATTTAAATAAAAAGTAACAATGGTATAATTAAAAAATAGCATTTTATGAAACAGTAACAAAACTGAAGTCAAAAATACAAAAGTTCTTTTTTTGTTAATGTGTATTCAACAAAATTTGTATAATGTTTATGTTACTTCCAAATATTGCTAACTATGCATTAAAAATAGAAATTCTCTACAGTTTCACTAAGGAGTAACGAAACGTGGGCACCGTAGTTTAAAACGCCCGCCACCGCAAGAAATGCTACGCTATGGCGCACCCTACAGCCATCTTGTGATCAATTAATACAGCCATAGTATGGCATCGGTAAAATCACTCCCAAGCGGAAAAGATTATTGTAATAATATTAAAAATATATAACCTTCTACACCTTTCAATAAAGTTGTGAAGACTTATTCCCCTAAATAATTATCCCTGTGATTTATTAGTTCCTAAGCTTACCACTAGATGACGATGGCGGGTCCATTTTTGGAGCTGCAGAATTAAAAAGAAATACAAACATCACTTGATCAATATTTTTAGGTTATTTATATTAATTTGGTTGGACAGTAGTATGTTATAATAATCTCTTATGCCATTGCATGAATTAAAAAGAAACATTTTACATTGCAATATTTTAATTATTAATATAAACTTATGGGAAAGTGGTCATCAATTTATTTACAAAATAACATCAGTTTACAATAAAGTCATGAACAAAGTAAATCTTTAAAATCTTAAAAGGTAAAAGCAGCTAAAAGCAATTCCTCGAAATACAGTAATTCAACCTCCCACATCGTGTGTCATAAACATGCAACACATGAATACATCTGTGCAGCAGCCGAAACAAGTACAATAAAATTATTTTTTCATATGGTACCCTTTGTTATGTTCGTAAAACGATAAACAAATGCATTGTGTCATCTTCAGAAATACAAATAAAATTGATCTACGCTTCGTGTTTATTCGATATATTTTCACAACACGCAACGAAATTGACGTATTTATCGTAGCAGATAATCGTAAATCCGGAACCCTTACGTGACAAAATATTTTTAAACTTTTATCATAGAGAGGTATAATAATCTCCTATTTATGTTTGCAAGTTCAAAGAACACCTTCTTTGTCCCGTTTAAACAGAATATTACTTATCTATTATCTATAAAAAAACATTGATAATTTTCGACCCAAGTTTCACACCTAATCGTTTAATTCCGATAAAGTGTCACGTCGGTAGAGTTTAATAATGAGCCATAATTAAATACTTACAACGTTCGTATTTCCGTCAGTTTAGCATCGATTGTATCTCACAGAAGAATTTGGAGACCCAACGTATTCGTATCACGTGCCACAAAAGCAGCATGATCGTTATGCAAGAATGGCGTCGATCTTTATTTAAATGAATTTCCACGTTAGTTTCGATATTACCCATTGTATGTTTATGGATCGCCATCTAAAGATGAACCTTCATTATATGCTCCTGCATTCTCTCGTCGCATGAATGCGGATGATGAACGTTTTGCATTCGCAAAGATGATCTCCGGCGATCGCTTTAAAAATAGCTCCCGACATTACAATTTCGCCTTTTCATCGATGCCCATTTCAATACCACCGAATACTCCGAGCTACAAAAAGTGTTCAATCGTGTCGCAGCAGGAAACGAGACAACCGCAATTATCTCATCAATTGACTTTACGAGGTCCAGTGAACCTAGTCAGGAAAGAAGAAAATGGCAGTCGTTATCGAGGGCAAGCCACGATTGCTCCGCCGATTCCTAACCGAATTGTTCTCCTTTTTACCCCATGTTTCAACCCCGTAACTAAAACTACGTGATTCAACATGCGATAATTTTGAATACTGTTTCTTGCACGAACATCTGTTTTCTCGAATAGTTATTTGCATTAGCGCCAGCCAATTCGCGTTTCCGGATCAACAAAATCCCGCTAGAAGTACAAACACGAAGGCCACGATTCGTGACAATTTTGAAAAACAGTCTACCACGATTCGTGTGACTTGCAAGTAAATTGCGGATCCAACAAAAATAAAGCTTTGGTCTTCATTCGCCGCAGTTTTGGATTAACATTATTCGGGATAAACAAAACGATTATAGTTGACATAACAGTTCGAGTTTGTTAAGAAATACATTAAATGAGTAAATGCAGACATTTGTAATTTTAAAGGTAAAACCGGTTTGTTCAGAGGACCAAGATATTTTAATTATAAAAATTCTAATATTCATGTAAAATGGTGTAAATGATTTAAATCTGACCCAAAACCGATGGACGATTCGCAACCTCACCAGAGGCGCCTGTTTAATGGTTTTGCACGCTCAATTTGATCGCTGTAATTAGCTTGCATAACAGTTGAATCGCCTTCGCGTGCTCGCGATTCGTTGGCGGTCTTCAATAGCGCGAGAAATAAGAAGCTCCTCTCATTAATGATTGTAACACTGACTCCTCTGTTCGATATTTAATTAACTTAATCTAGCTTCGCGGAGGAATGGCGGTATCTATAACGAAATGCGAATGAAAAATTGAAAAACGCCACTCGGTGAAACTAAATGAGATCTCGTATGAACGTAACTGAACAAATGAGGTAATTGTTTTTAGACAGTAACATGCAGAGATTTGGGGATTTGGAGATTTAAGGATTTGGGAATTTGGGAATTTGGGGATTTGGAGATTTGAAGATTTGGAAATTTGAGAATTTAGATATTTAGGGATTTGGAGAATTGAAATTTGGGAGATTTAAGGATTTTTGGAAATATGAGAATTTGGAGATTTGAGAATTTGGGAATTTGGGAATTTGAGAATTTGGGAATTTGGAAATTTGGGAATTTGGAAATTTTGGGAATTTGGGAATTTGAGAATTTGGGAATTTGGGAATTTGGGAATTTGGAAATTTTGGAATTTGCAGATTTGGGAATTTGGAAATTTTGGGAATTTGGGAATTTGGGAATTTGGGAATTTGAGAATTTGAGAATTTGGGAATTTGGGAATTTGGGAATTTGGGAATTTGGGAATTTGGGAATTTGGGAATTTGGGAATTTGGGAATTTGGGAATTTGGGAATTTGGGAATTTGGGAATTTGGGAATTTGGGAATTTGGGAATTTGGGAATTTGGGAATTTGGGAATTTGGGAATTTGAAAATTTGGGAATTTGAGAATTTGAGAATTTGAGAATTTGAAAAACTAGAAATTTGGGAATTTGGGAACTTAGTAACTTTAACTCTTTGGAATTTGAGAACTTGAAAATATTATAAATTGTGAATACAAGAATTTTAAGATACACTTGAAAATTTGAGAATTCAAACACACAATAATTTTAAAATTAAAAAATTTGATTCAATAATTAAAAAAGTTATAAATCCATGGATTTAAAAATATGAAAACGTAACAACCTGCTCGCACTTTCTGCGGCATCGAGCCAAACGATCAACTTAACACCCTCTTTGATGTCCGCAGTTCTGGTGAAAAAAATCGATGTCACATATAACAGATACATAAAACAATATTATTTACCTCGGTTTAAGCGGTAGTAAATTGGATAAAAAAGACATCAATTATTGGCCGTCTCGCAGCCACATAATAGTTCGTTCACCTCGAGATAATTCATTGAACTCGTGGTGACCTCCATGCAGCGACACAAATGCATACGACCTGCTTTCTATTGATATTTTTCTTCTCTTTAGCATTTCCTTTCCGGTTTAAGGTGGTGCATCAACAATACACGTGGAAAACTCTACGAGAAAAATTAATTGAAGGAAAAGTCTTTCTTGTTAAACAGTTATTGCAAAGAAAAGGTTCCCGTAGAAAGAACATTATAGAGAGTGTTAATTGACTCAGAAATTTAGAACATGTTTACACATCTCGAACAATCGAGAGCAGAGACGTAAGAAATTTAACTACGCAGATAAGTCGCTTATCGTGTCACCACTTTTCCTGGATTTCGTCCAAATCTTGACTAATCCGTGCGAAGTTCATCGCCATTCTAACGTACCATCCCTGTCCACTGTGTCCTGCATCCTTGAGAGAAGTATGTGTACTTTACACACGTGACGAACATTTATCGTGTCGTGCCTGAAATTATTTATCAATGCGAATGGTGAATGCCGCCTTGTATACGAAAACTATATGTACGATGCATTATTTATCAAGTATCTGCATGCCGACGAAATTTCAACGCGTCTAACGCCTCGACGTTCGCATTTACACGTTTGCGAATTGTTCGAGATTCTATTTACATTACTCTGATGAAATACGGCGTTGAAGTCGAAAAGGTTGAGACACTACGTTTTTATTTGAAAGACTTTAGTGCGATTGGGAAGAATTATATAAAATTCTACATGGTTTACGGGTAATTAAAATTATTGGTTATGAGAAAATTGAGGAAGAAGTTTGAAAAAATTGAACGCGAAAAAAAATTATTACATTTGTTCTATTTAACCCTGAATTATATTTCTATAATCGTCAAACCACATATTATAAATTACGTTTAATTGGTGACTCCTTTAATTAATAAATGAATATATGAATATATTTTACGATTGATTTACTACTACCTTGCACAAGTATTTCGCGTCATCTTAAACAGATACAACAAATAGTGAAAATAATTTCATTTTTCTCACCTCAAATTGTTTCTACAAGTTCCAACTCTGCACAAAATGCAAATAGCGACGGTTAAAGTCGCCGTATCAGTCAAGAAGAGTGTCCAAAAACATGGCGCCAAACGGACGCTGACTTCAAATTCCGGCGCATGCCCAGACCCATAGGATCCATAGTTTGTAAACAAAAGTGGAGGCAACCGCGTGGTTTGGATCAGTGTGGCGGCGACTCTCGCGGTCGAAGGAGTCAGGAGGCGCTTTCTCCTCGCCCGTATCTTCAAACTCGACTATAGACTCACATCGTTAATTCTCCGATATTTTCCAACGAGAAGAACGTGTTGAGCTATCAAGCCGCGTTGATCGAGGTTTGAAAGGAATTGAGAAACGCAATTTCGTCGACAGTCGATCAAATCGATTCGGTCAATGAAATCTCACTAAACTCGCGATTTTTTTTATCACTCAAAGTATATTAATTTTTGACTCCAAAGTGCAACTTCGTTTTATTGAAATTAATAATCTACTCGTTCGGTTGATGGAATTCGGTAAAAAATTGTTCTTCGTGTTGTAAGTAAGAGTTTTTGCCGAAAATCAATCGGTGAACCAGAGTGGATTCGTTGCGGCAATTGTGACACACCGTACGCGCAAGCTGGATGAAATAAAGGCCCGGGAAAGCAGGTAGTTATACAAAAGGGTCCAGCTACAACGTTGTCACGTTTCATGAGAAACTCTACGAGTGCAGGCCCTAAACAGCAACAGCGCCGGTAATACGCAAGGGAGCGACGCGATAATAGGGCACCAAATGTGTGCACGATAGCCTGTAACGATACATAAGCCGAGAGACGTTTTCGAACAATGACTATGCTCTAATAGAAAATTCTGTAGTTTTCTACGGTTGCCGTTCACGTAAAGGAAAACCGAGATAAAGGGTTTGAGACGATTCGAGCGCAATGATACCAAGATCGTGAACGCGGAATAATTTATAATAAACAATGAGGTCTCTGAATCGTTGCATCGCTGATCACGTCACGACTTCCGTTTGAAATAGATCGTTCGTACGAATTTCGCGGGACTTTACGGTGTATCGATTGCTTTTATTTGACGATTACGAGAGTCAAAAATGTCGCTCACCTCGACGGAAGACTGGAACGAAACTTTGATTATGCTATTCAACTCGACTACGATGGCACCTAATATTACCGGAGCGAATGGTAGCGGACAAGATACCAAGAGGCACGTGACCTTCGCTACTCAGGTGGTGCTCACCCTTGTGTACCTAACCGGTGTGATCGGCAACGTGTCTGCTTTAGTCATTTTGTTTCATCGAGATAAGGTAAAAACACTTTCCTAGAAACGATTACGTCAAGTAATTACCATCGTCAATCAACTTCAAGTTAATTTGAGACACTGTAATTAGTTCCTGGTCGAATATTTTTAAATATTCAAGTACAAATTCTTGTGAATTATAATACAAAGTTGTAACAGATATTCACTCGTTATATTTTTAACTTATAAATTGTTTCAACTTGTGTTGTAAAATTTTTGTTAAATGTGTACCTATTTCATTACGTGGAAATTGTTTAGATAATATTCTTGTTAATGCAGACGTTTTAATCCATAAAAATACCCTAATTACACCGATAAATTTTATAACAATGTTTTAGATATATTTCACTTGCAAAATTACAAGAAATGAAATAATGCTGCTATTAAAGTCTTTGTTATCAAAAAGAATTTCGAAAGACTATTTGACGTAATCAGACATTATCCTCTGAGATCAATATTTGATCACGACAGAAAAAAACGATTCAAAACACAGCTACGTATATTTTAACGAAATAGATAAATTATGCCCAGAAACGATAAAGTTTGAAACTCGAAGAAACGAGTTTTCCCAACGGAATTTTCTTGGGTATATCGAAAATAATTGATGGATTCGCTTGTTTCAGAGGAGGAACCGAAAACACTTGCTGATGCTTCGTTGCCTGGCGATCAACGATCTTGTTGCTTTGTTAGGGATGTTGGTTCAGATGTATATCACAATTTATGTCGGCAGCGTGATATCTACGAGAGGATTTTGCTCCCTTCGCGTGGTGTGGAGACTATTTGGCTTATTCAGTGGTTGCGTCGCCATCGTGATGGCAGCCGAAAGGTGGCTAGCCTTGACCAGGCCCTTCGTTTATCAGAAAGTAAGTCAAGATCCTTGATAAACCTTCCTAGAGGATTGACCTTCGTATTGAGCTTTATAAACCCTTCACAAAACTTTTTTATCCTCAGAAATATTTTGGCTGAAATCTCACGATCACGCAAACTTCACAACATAACTGATTAATAAACACACTAAGCATTTTTATCAAATAATGCTATAACATTATTTTTTATAGTTATAATTCGTTATCTGATTTGGGTGAAACTTTGGGATTAAACCTTGCCATATTTCAAAGTTGAGCTGAAATACATTAGTAAGGTAATCGAGGTACCTTAGTACTTCATATTCGAGTACCATCAAATTATAATAAATTTTAGCGAAGAAATATTTGATGGTTCACATCTCTATATGCACGGTGACTTTCGAGAACAGCAATTAGATTTAATGTTAGTGTCATAAAAGCTGTCACGGCCCTTTGTTCGAAAGACTGACACTTTGTGGGCCATAGAGATAAACAGGAGTAAAAGAAGATATTAACCCAACGGAATGATCTCCATAGGTTTTATCTGTACGTGATAAGGGTCACGTTACATAGGCTGTACACTGCGTGTAGACCTGACCCATTTTTTTAACTGGAAGTAGCGTGAACATGGGCTGAAAATGACAGAACTATTTGACGTTCTATTGATATTAGAGTACGTTGGTCTTTCGACATCTTGGGAAGTGTTTACGTTCAAACTTTAAAAACTTATTTCCATCGCACGAAAAAATGTTTTAGAGCTTTTGAGATTTAACTTCGTGTTAATTTCACATTAATTATTAAAATATTTTATTTCATAGTATTGGGGGTACCGAAAAGTAATCAAAATTTCTTCGATGATTTCAAAGTTTTTGTATGAAAAATCGAAGGACTTTTTTTAAGAAGGGAACAATTGCCTTTACGCTGGCTAAAAGCGTTAGAAACTGATGGAAATTATTTTGTTGATTTAAGATTACTTTTCGGTACCCCTAATATATTTTATATATTGTTTTACCTTCTTCAAGAATAGATGTGTTTATGTTTAATATTATTCTGAGCGCATCCTTGAAATGCTGCATAAATTTAATGATACGATCAGCTCCATCGATATAAAAATTATCGAACATTCGAATGACGCGTGCCACGCCAACGGAATCAATGATAGAAAAGTCCTTCGCATTGACATTCTTGCGAATCTTGTGATTGCAGTATCGGATGAACGACATGCGAATATTAATCTCATCATTCAGCCAGAAACAATGATTCGTTTATATCAATTTGCCGCCTTTTAAGACGCGGCGGAAACAATTATTTAAACTGGCATCGAAACATGCATTACCTCAATATAATTCATTCGTCATAACATACCACTTCCGTTTTAACTTTCTTCTGGGTGTGGTTGTAGCTGATGATTTAAACGATGGATTGCATTTTTAAAATCCCTAAACGTGAATTATTTGCACAAGCTATGTACTCAGGTTCTATACTTAAATTTTAAAGCATGTCTCTGATGTGTTCTTAAGCAGTTGGAGTGCTTTTTGAAATTATGTGGAAGATCTAGTTTGAAATTTCTAAGTTTTGGTTCTAATATTCTGAAGGTACCAAAATTCCAATATTCCAAAATTCCAATATCCCAAAATTCCAATATCCCAAAATTCCAATATTCCAAAATTCCAATATTCCAATATTCCAATATTCCAAAATTCCAATATCCCAAAATTCCAATATCTCAAAATTCCAATATCCCAAAATTCCAATATCCCAAAATTCCAATATCCCAAAATTCCAATATTTTAAAATCCAGTATTCCAAAATTCCAATATCCCAAAATTCCAATATTTTAAAAATCCAGTATTCCAAAATTCCAATAGTTCAAAATTCCAATATCCCGAAATTCCAATATTTCAAAATTCCAGTATTCCAAAATTCCAATATTTCAAAATTCCAATAGTTCAAAATTCCAATATCCCGAAATTCCAATATTTCAAAATTCCAATATCCCGAAATTCCAATATTTCAAAATTCCAATATTTAGAAATTCCAATATTCCAATATTCCAATATTCCAATATTCCAATATTCCAAAATTCCAAAATTCCAAAATTCCGAAATTCCAAAATTCCAAAATTCAAAAATTCAAAAATTCTAAAATTCTAAAATTCCAATATTCCAATATTCTAATACTTCAATATTTAAAAATTCCAAAATTCGAATATTTTAAAATCCCAAAAATCTCAAAATCCCAAGAATTCCTAAAATCCCAAAAATTACAAAAATCCAAAAAATTCCAAAAGTAGCAAAATACTAAAACCTTAAAATTCTACAAAATCCCAAATTCTCACAGTTAAATATTTCAAGCAGCGTTGAAAATGATCAAAATAAAGAGTAAAAGCTTGCAAAATTTCGCCAAAGAAGAAAGTTATATACACCTCTGTTTCAATACTTCATTTCTTGCCTAAAAACGTTTCACATTCTTCAATACGACGAACTTGCACGTGGCGTATTTATCCCATTGTCATGGTGTTGCCTCAAACATCCATTCACCGCAAAATTTGTAAACGAATTCAAAGATCTCTATCATCGGTGGTGCAACTTATCATTTGAACAGTTTTCACAAATTCGCCAATCTCCCAAAAATGCAGATGCAGGATCTACGAGATTCCAAGCATCACGATTACGAAGGGTCATGGGTCATGGAAACACGCGAGTGTACCTCCAAATTCTCGCGATAGTGATAACACGCGATAGCTCGAAAAAACCTCGCGTTATTTCCGAGAAAAAGAAGCTACGTGATCAACAGCATCGTCTAATTATTCTTAGCGATTAAAGAACTGATTCTGGTGCGATCTATTAGGTCATTCGATTAGTTCCCGCCACGTTTCGTTTACATTCTCCGTGATACATTTTCTAAACAGAGATTCGGGGCGAAATAAGATTCGTGTGATCTTTGTTCGAAGATATTTGCATCAATTTTTGTTTCGCTATTTGGTTCAACTTGTGAGACTATTTTGGTTTAATTATTTGACTATATTTCGCTGTTTAACTATTCGTCATAAACGTGTTTTGGGCTCCAATATTTAATTCAGCAAACATTTTCACACTAATAGTAAAAACGTACATTCATAGGTGTTGAATACAATTGTACCCATTGTCTCGCGGTGAAAAGTGCGTGACCCATATTGTGACCCAAATATGGCCACGCGTGGAACTCTTTTAAATCAATAGTCCATTCGGATAGATTGATTGAATAGAATATTTGCATAACAGTTATGTACGAAATCTAAGAATAGGTTCTGTATAAGTTTGGGGTTGCGGAGTACTGATAACATTCTGAACGACATTGTAAAATTGAAGACCTTAGGTGGTCAATATATTTCAGTTCTTATTCAGAATACTGAAACAATATCGAATCCTGAGGTTAACAATATATAATCGATCGAAAATTTTCTTTAGAGACCTTAGGTGGTCAATGTATTTCAGTTCTTATTCAGAATACTGAAACAATATCGAATCCTAAGGTTAACAATATATAATCGATCGAAAATTTTCTTTAGAGACCTTAGGTGGTCAATGTATTTCAGTTCTTATTCAGAATACTGAAACAATATCGAATCCTAAGGTTAATAATATATAATCGATCGAAAATTTTCTTCAGATACTTTTAAAATGAAATGAATTTGAAAATGAAAGCAGCAATAGAATCTATAATCCCAATGCTAAATTTCAAGGATTCAATGAATGTTGAGTTTTGAGAGGCGATTCAAGGTCAGTGAAAATTAATCCCACTCGGATACTTCTCTCCAGTTTCTGCACCGGTTTACAATGAGGTCCAACTTTTACTTATGATACGTGTATTCACTCACGTACAGTGTTTTCGTCAAATTCTTCATTATGTACTTCCACGGATTTATGTAACGAGGTCGGTACCTCGCTATCAAAGTTACGAGCAACATACGTGATTCCATTAAACTTAGAGCTTCTCATCTACGATGCAATTAACGAACTATCGAAATACTGGTATACATTGATAATTACAGAAGTTATGTGCTACGTGTTAAACACTGTTCAAAAATATTTAAGCTTATTAATTTGAAAATTTTGAAGTTTCGGAGACTTGTAGGGGTTAGGACTTTATCGCAATTTTCTATAGATAAATTTTTGATAGTAGTCAATGTATCTCTACTTAAATATGTAATAGTAGGTGTTCGGACCTTGTTGCACAGTGTTGCTATTTTCTATAGAGGAATCTTTGATATTAGTCAACCTATCACTACTTAAATATGTAATATATCATATATCAGCAAAACTCTCACATCAAAAATTGATACATGATACAATGATACAGTAATCCCAATCGATTTTTATATTTCGTTACAAGTCAATGTAGATACAAAAATCTTCCCAAAGTTCTAACTTAATAATTAGTCGATCTCTAAATTACAAATATAAAAAATTCCAAATTTGCATCAGTAAAAACACATGTTGACATGTGTATTCACATGTGAACAAATGTGAAGCTCTGAGTTTGACGTAATAAAGAGTAATGTGCAATTCATGGTAATTTACAAAGTAGCACGATACAAACAGAATGACAGTATTCAATGACAGAGTTCAATTTAATTCCATCAAGATCGAAGTACCCGCAAAAATAGAGCGCAATCAGTCGATCAAAGCAAATTGGAGAGCACTGGGGCAGTGAAAATCCAAAGCTCGTTAGCAGCTCCCCAGGGACTCTACGTGCACCATAAATTTCTGACGCGACGGATTTACTTATGTTTCGACCAAGGCTGACCGGTTGAAAGCAGAGGAGATTACATAGACGAAGGAACTTAGTGGGCGTACTCGCGTCTAACGATCCGAACAGATCGGCAATCTCGACGACACTTTCACGAGGCGATCGAAAAACGGTAGCCAAAGTAAATTGAACGGTGTAAAATTATCTTCGCGAAATTTTCTCGTAGTAGCTACTTGTGTGCGATTTAACGAGTGATTCACGACACCGAATAACTACGATGCCTCGTTTTTTCGGCCCCCTTCGAAGCAGATACATGAAGTAACGAGTGAGATGCTGCTTGTAGGGTTGCGCAACGTGAAGCTTTCAAAATTCCTCGTCCGCTTCGCGAATCGATTTTTCTCCGAAATTAAGGGTTCCTCGAAAGGTTAAGTGGATTCTATGGATTATACGGATCTTTGGGGATGCGAGAAATTAATTGGTTACGTGTGACGGTTACTACTGCGATAAATTATACGCGCGAATGTTATTGGAAAATTTTGGAAATGGAGTTCATATAGTGCTCTAATTTAGATGTTTATATGGACATTATATGGACATTTAAGCATTTTAGAATAAATACAAAAATTTTACGATGTAATTGTTACATCTATTATGTCTTTATACTTCAAGGTTAAATTATTTAATTATGTGATCATTTTATGTTCTTTCTGAATTTTTCAATTATTATAATTAACTTCAGAGTACTAGAAGTTTAAAATCTATTCACAAACTTGCTATACTATACTCAATTTTTAAATTTTTATTCAAAGAAGTGTCAAAAATTTTATATTTAAATAGCACACCCTTAAAATTTATGTATGTACTTTTTATTCTATGTGATCATTTTATGTTCTTTCTGTTGAATTTCTCAATTATTATAATTATCTTCAATGTACTAGAAGTTTAAAATCTATTCGCAAACTTGCTATACTATACTCAATTTTTAAATTTTTATTCAAAGTAGAGTTAAAAATTTTATATTTAAACAGCTCACCCTTAAAAATTATGTAAGTACTTTTTATTCTATGTGATCATTTTATGTTCCTTCTAAATTTCTCAATTATTATAATTAACTTTAGAGTACTAGAAGTTTAAAATCTCAGAAAAATGCTATACTCAATGTTTAAACTTTTATTCAAAGAAACGTCAAAAGTTTTATATTTAAACAGCTCACCTCTAAAAATTATGTAGGTACTTTTTATTCTATGGTAACCATTGTTACAAACTTTCCGAGTCTCAAACCTACAAAAGACAATTGAAGTTTTCATTAACAATTCTCGAATACTTCTGGCAAATTAAAATTTATTTCTGAAAGATTTCCCCAGACACTCATCGTTTAACCAAAAACTGATACAGTGCTTCCATTGCTAAATTGTATCTAGGGTATTGACGTCATCGTCATAAGTTTACATCGCATTATCTCCGATAATCGCAGTCGATCGCGAATATTGTTTCCCAATAAGTTTCATCGTAAACCGTTGTTTTGTGCTTCTAATATTACTCCATCGATAAAACCCTGAAATAATAAATACTCGATTGACGACGAAGTACTCTAATCGATTATTTTATGAGATGAAAAAGTTATTTTGTTGAGCTTTTGAACTGAAGGTACTTGTAACTTTCGCTTCCGGCAAACAACGTTTTCTTTGATAAACGTCTTGTCGTCTCTCATATTCAAGGTTCTTGAATTTCTTTGGAGCATTCAGTAGCTTTCTGACGAGACGTCAGTTTGAAATGACGGTTCAAGTTCACGGATTGCGTGAACTCAATCTGTTTCTAATTCGATCCATTTACCGAACGCATCGCTATTAAATTCAGAATCGCGGAAAACAATGAAACGATCAGCTTTAAACGCAAGATACAATGTTGGAGAAATTAGGGTTTCTTTTTATTACACCCTCTTTAATTTTCTCCACTTTGTCTGCGTACGTGAGCCTTCCACTGTTTCTTATAAAAGGACTTTCTCTCATTTTCCCCTTGAAAGCACTTAGCCGCCTCCGCAACGGACGATAAAGCCCCCGATGCTTTCATTTCCCTTTTTTCTGTTTTGAGGATCGCGATTTCGTGACACTCGAGCCATATAGGGAATCTTCATTTTTATCCACGAATTTCGGTAAATTTAAACATGGCTTTCATTAAAAAATAAACATAACCTTATGTCTTTTAACACAACCTACCGGCATATAATGTGTACTTACACATGATGGAAAAATAACAGAACCTTTTTAATAGAAAGAAAAGAATGAGTTATTTTGACAAAATTAATTTTTTTTATTCAAAATCATTTTGTATTTTATTTCGTCGGTGACGAAAGGTTCTGTCGCATTAAACGCTACAAGTTTACAATTTGTTGCTCGAATCCAATAACGATTGTTGTGTTTTGTAGGGAAGGTATACTGTTTTCAGATAAAATATTGTTTTAATAGATGGCACTAGTTTTCCTTAAATTTGAAAAGTTTTGTTACTTTTCCGACATAGTGTGTAGTTTGAAAATGAAGATGAAGTCCAAAAATAAATAAACGACGAAACATTTATTCCTTATTTTGATGAAAATCAATACTGATTTCAAGGAATGCTTTAACCTCTTCCCGTGCTTTAACGAGTCTCACTCGTGACGCACTTACACCTCAAATGTGATAAACCTTACTCAAATTTTGAATACTCTTCAACTTGAAATTTAAGTCCAACTATAAGTTGCATTATCAAGGACCCCTGAATATAAAATACTCACAACATTTTAATTTTCTTTGTTCGTTTTAATGTTATAGCCCTGAATAGTTAGTCTTGACTGACGCATCTGATAAATAAATGGCACGGGAAGGGGTCAACAAAATGTGTACCTTATAATAAGAAACTTGTGGAGGGGTCATTTGACCGGGTTGCTAGTTTTAGTGTTAAATTATCTTATACGAAGGTTATGTCCGGTAATCCGCCATAATGGAATCTGATGCCCCAATTCGATTGTAATAAAAACTCCGAGTACACGTGTTAAATATTTCAAGTAGCCACGTGCCTGTTTTATTGATTACAGTACTTGAAAAGCTACTTTGTCTAATAAATCATCCTGTTCAATGAAATATTTTCCTAGAGTCTTCCTTAATTATCTTCACTTGAAAATAACACGACATGAATCACAGGTTTAAATAACGAAGAACCAGAGATTAAACACGATTTGTTTACGGCAATTTCGAATTCACCGAATGACAAATAGTGTTGTTCCGATTTCACTGTGGACGAAATTCATCCCATGACGAAACGCAGCGAATCCTTTTCCGCGTTTTTCTTCATCTCTATAAAAAGATCGAAGGTGTATATAATATTACAGAGTCAAGAAACCTTAAAGTCAATCTGACGCAGAGTTCACCTATTTTAGCTTGCAGGGTCGCGGCCAAAAACCTTTCGTAGGAAAGTGCGTGAAGTTTACGAAACATCGAGGACTCTTCTGCTCCGGCTTCTCTGATATGATTGGCCGTGTTAAAGTCATTGGAGGTCCATTAGAACTGAATCAATATTCGTCGACTGTTTTTCGTCACGCGTTGCCACCAAAGTTCGTTGACTTTTCTGTCGTCAGTTTGATACGGTTTCGTGTAACTAAACATCGCACGTGGCAAATGTTACACGATATTTGACAAGTTTTCACTGAATAGTGCTGGTTACGTAAATTGTTGTTTAGAGTTGGATTTTGTTGAGACTTTTAACGGTGTACTCAAATTTAGGTGTTAAACTTAAAAATTTCGAGACATTCTAAATTTTTTGATGAGCGAATTTTTTAAGTTGGAAGAAAGTAGATTTCAATATTTTAGGACTTTGAAATTTGGTTGTCAATCTGAACGATTGAAAATTTGGGAGGGTGGGAATTTTCAGATTTAGAAATTTGGAGATTTAGAAGGTTTGGGATTGCTGGGAATTTTTGGAATTTGGAAATCTGAAAGAAACTTGGTAAATTAAAAACTTGAATATTTGACCCTACCGAAATCTTCAGATCCTCAAATTTGGATCTTGAGAAATTTTAAAGGCCAAAAATTTGAACCTTCAGAAACCCTAAAATTCTCCTAACTCGAATCTTCAGAAATTTAAAAATCCTGAAATTCGAACCTTCAGAAATCCTAAGACCCCCTAACTCGAATTTTCAAAAATTTTAAAATCCAGAAATTCAACCCTCCTAAAATCTAAAAACCCCAAATATGAATCTTGAGAAATTTCAACGTCCAGAAATTTGAACCATCAGAAACCCTAAAACCCCCTAACTCAAATCTCCCAAAATTTTAAAGTCCAGAAATTCGACCCTCCTAAAATTTACAATCCCCTAACTTGAATCTTCTGACATTTCAATGACCAGAAATTCGAACCTTCAGAAACCCTAAAATCCCCTAACTGGAGTCTCCCAAAATTTCAACGACCAGAAATTCGTACCTTCAGAAATCTTGAAATCCTCAAATTTGCAACCCCTAACTTGAAAATTTAACTACGTAACAATTTAACAATCTTTTAATTTGCAACCCCAGTAATTTCTACCAAAATCGATTACCAAATCCGCAACTCACAATTTTACCAATTAAATCCAAGAAAAAACGTAAAACCCAGTCACGCAAAGAAAACTCTTCTGATATTTGACCCCAAATGCTCCAAGCCTGACAACCAGCTATAAGGAAAAAGATAAACCTGTTCGTTCATTTTTATAGGACGATTCACTTAATCTTATCGCGATGATATCGACGAAGAAATTGATTGATTCTTGTGCCGCCTAATCTGTGACACCCATGTGTTCTCCAGCAGGTGACGTATCCGGTAATTGTTCGTTGCATGCTGGTGCTTTGGTTGGTCGCTCTGGCATTGACGAGCTTTCCGGTTCTGGGTTTCGGTGTTTATTACAAAGGTGAACGGTGTGTTCGATACAGAGAGGCGACTGAACCAGCAGACATAGCTTACGCCTACGTTTGGTTCTTTTTCGGTGAGTATATATGATACTTGTATGTATGATAATGTTATTGCGATCGATACTTTTCTTTGATAATATATTGCCATCATTCCATTATCCAAACTCGTTTGATTGAGCGCTTGATTATCTTAAGAGCATTAGCTCGGATGAAAAAAAGCTAACAAATTGGGTACTAAGAATTGAACGACTGTGGAAAAATTGTTGAGGAAAATGGGGGAACAGGCTTGAATGACTTATTGATTATGTTTAACCCTTTTTATGAAGGTTGAGATCATATTTTTAAAGCGGAAGGGTTGAGTGTTATTGTAAGTATGATCATTAACCCAAATTCCGGTCCTGGATTTCTACAGATCCATATTTTCAAAGTTCTAAGTCTGAAGGCCTGAAATACTATAATTTCGAATTCCTGTGATCTTAAATACCTAAAGTCCCATTTACCCAATGTCCCAAATCCTTGAACTGCTATATTCTTTAAATACTGAATTTTAAAAACTTCAAGTCTATGATATTGCACGTTCCTAAAGTTTCAAATTCTCAAATCTTCAAATTTCAAATATAAAAAGTTCTCAAACTTAAAAGTTTTAAAATCTCCAGAGCCCCAAATTCCCTACATTTTAACATCGCAAAGTCTCAAATCCTCAAATTCCCAAATCTTCAATGTTGCAAATCCCTAAAGTCCCAAATCCTCAAATTTTCAAATCTGCAATATTCCAAATCCTCAAATTCCCAAAACCCCAAATTCCCAAATCTCCAATGTCTCAAATTTTCAAATTCCCAAATTCCAAATTTCCAAATCTCCAATGTCCCAAATCCTCAAATTCCTAAACTCCAAATTTCCAAATCCTCAAATTCCCAAATCTTCAATGTTGCAAATCCCTAAAGTCCCAAATCCTCAAATTTTCAAATCTGCAATATTCCAAATCCTCAAATTCCCAAAACCCCAAATTCCCAAATCTCCAATGTCTCAAATTTTCAAATTCCCAAACTCCAAATTTCCAAATCTCCAATGTCCCAAATCCTCAAATTCCTAAACTCCAAATTTCCAAATCCTCAAATTCCCAAATCTTCAATGTTGCAAATCCCTAAAGTCCCAAATCCTCAAATTTTCAAATCTGCAATATTCCAAATCCTCAAATTCCCAAAACCCCAAATTCCCAAATCTCCAATGTCTCAAATTTTCAAATTCCCAAACTCCAAATTTCCAAATCTCCAATGTCCCAAATCCTCAAATTCCTAAACTCCAAATTTCCAAATCCTCAAATTCCCAAATCTTCAATGTTGCAAATCCCTAAAGTCCCAAATCCTCAAATTTTCAAATCTGCAATATTCCAAATCCTCAAATTCCCAAAACCCCAAATTCCCAAATCTCCAATGTCTCAAATTTTCAAATTCCCAAACTCCAAATTTCCAAATCTCCAATGTCCCAAATCCTCAAATTCCTAAACTCCAAATTTCCAAATCCTCAAATTCCCAAATCTTCAATGTTGCAAATCCCTAAAGTCCCAAATCCTCAAATTTTCAAATCTGCAATATTCCAAATCCTCAAATTCCCAAAACCCCAAATTCCCAAATCTCCAATGTCTCAAATTTTCAAATTCCCAAACTCCAAATTTCCAAATCTCCAATGTCCCAAATCCTCAAATTCCTAAACTCCAAATTTCCAAATCCTCAAATTCCCAAATCTTCAATGTTGCAAATCCCTAAAGTCCCAAATCCTCAAATTTTCAAATCTGCAATATTCCAAATCCTCAAATTCCCAAAACCCCAAATTCCCAAATCTCCAATGTCTCAAATTTTCAAATTCCCAAACTCCAAATTTCCAAATCTCCAATGTCCCAAATCCTCAAATTCCTAAACTCCAAATTTCCAAATCTCCAATGTCCCAAATCCTCAAATTTCCAAAATCCCAAGTTCCCAAACCTCCAATGTCCCAAATCCCTAAAGTCACAAATTCTCGAATTCTCAAATCCTCAAATTCCCAAAACCCCAAATTCCCAAATCTCCAATGTCTCAAATTTTCAAATTCCCAAATTCCAAATTTCCAAATCTCCAATGTCCCAAATCCTCAAATTTCCAAAATCCCAAGTTCCCAAACCTCCAATGTCCCAAATCCCTAAAGTCCAAAATCCTCAAATTCCCAAATCTCCAATATCCCAAATCCCTAAGGTCCCAAATTCTAGAATCCCCAAATCTCCAATGTCCCCAATCCCTAAAGTCCCAAATCCCCAAATTCCCAAATTTCCAAATCCCTAAATCCCCAAAATCTCACTCACCCCACCTTTCCACCCCAACATACAATTTCCACAACAAGCGAATTATTTTATATCCCAAAAACAATTAATCGTCTCCTAACATTGCAGGTACCGTGCTCTGTCTGTCGATAGTCTGGTGTAACCTGGCCGTTTCTAGAGCACTTAGCAGACTGAATCGCAAGGCAGGTGCTCTACGGCGCGTAACAAGATCCTCTTCAAGAGCGAAGCCTCTTTTGACGGTAACAGGTCCTCCGACGGAAGTCGTCACCACGGCAGAGGAAAGAGCATTCGCCAGATTAATGGCCGTCCTATCGATATCATTCGTCATTTGTTGGATGCCGCAAATGGTACGTGATCGACGATACAAGCGATTAATTGCGTTAATTTCCTCGCACGCGCTCGTCAATTAAATTTTGGCAAGCTGATTGAAATTCATACGATGTGGCTATTTCCGGTTTCAAACGATATTGAAACTGTTGGCCCGTTATGTACTATGTTAGATGACAGGAAAATAATTTTAATCACCGATAATTATAATTCTTCATAATTATTACTTTTTTACTTTTTATTATTGTAACTTTTTTTGTAGTTAATTGTCTTAACTTTTGTATTTTGGTCTTCTATTTTTTTTACAATGACTTGCAGTCATTTATTGACATTTTTTTATCGAGTTTTTGCACATTTTTAGTTTGATTGTGATATTTGTGTTATATTAAATTTCTTAATGATACTAACAAAATTAGATAAGATCTGCACAGTGTTGCACGACTATATTTAATTAAATAATGATTCATGTTCTTTCGAATATCTTTCGAATATTTTATGGTTAAATGATCTTGAAATAATATACGTCCAAAAACAATATAACTTTGTATCTCTCAGTGTTAATAGATATCCCATAGACCCCCTGCCGACAATATATTTTGGCAACACATCGCAAACACGAAAGGTCCGAGGTAAAGAGAGCTTCCGGTTACTCTCTTTTATGGTACCCAATGGTATTTACGTGACGTGTTTACCGAAGATACATTTGAAGATAATATTTGATTCTACCACGTTGAAACATCGATAAAATTTGCGCTCGTGACGAGCACTTCAATTCATTGTAAACAGTTTTCATTCCGAGCCACGCTTCTTCCTTAAGTATAAATCTAACGATTTTACAATCATATATCGCACCATCTTCCGCTATATTTCAGCTATAAACCTACAAGTTTTATTTGTCTTTTTACTTAAATTTCATTTGCAATTTGATTATTTTAATCCTCAGATGGCTTGTTTTGTGGAGATATAATCTGATGGTTTATTTTGTGGACACATCATCTGATGGTCTCTTTTGTGACGCACAAGAGTGCATGATTGTAGAAACTCTGATTTCGTTCAAGCATGGCATAATTGTAGAGAATTCTGAATGTAATCATTTCGTAGAATTATGAATCGCAACTTTTTGAAATAAGAGAGTATTCGAATTTCAAATTTTTTAATTTGACGGTTGGAAATTTTTTAATTTTTCAATTTTTAGAATAGAAAACTTGTAAGTCTGAACATTTGTGAACTTCTATACTTTTAGATTTGAAGATTTACAAATTTACATATTCTTAGATTTGAAGATTAGTGAATTTCTATGTTTAGATCTGAAAATTTGCAAGTTTGTACATATCTACAAATTTACAAGTACATTTGATACTTCATAAAATAAATTTTCAATGTGAGAATTCGAAAGTTCGTAAGCTTGAAAGTCCCAAAACTGGAGCGGTTAGTTTAAAGACACGCGCTCTAATCTGGGGTTAAGGTGCATCGAACCAGCCGATAAGATTTCACGTCAAACTTAGAGAATCATCGTCATCGAAGCTTTCGCATTCCTGAATTTTTAATCCAGCATCCTGTCACCGAGAATAGAATCGCATCGAACAATGCACTCGGCACGGTGATTGCATACTCACGAGTAATTTCCATCTCCCTTATCCGTCGAGCATCTTATTCGCGAGTTTCTCTCCGGTAAAGCTTCTCACGAATGTCGAACTGCCCTCGAAGTGAAAATATTTGCTATCGTTTCCTGTTCGTGAACGCTTGTACGAACAGATCCGCAAAGTTGCAAACGTGACGCACATCCGGTACCCGTACCAAGGTTAAAACCATCAAATCAGTTTAGAATTTCTTCACGTACGATCGACTCGCGACATCCGCAAAACGATCGACGCTAACATCGATATTATCCGAGCGATTCGTAGGTGGAGCAGTTTAAAGTTTAAAGAAACGACGAGAAAATGGCCGATCAACGACCACCATGTATTTTTATCGTTGTCCCTTAAGTAAACACGCGGGTTCGTATTGATCTGGCGATACAATTATTTTTAGCAAACACACCCTCAAATATAATTGGCCTGTTTTCTAAACGAGCTGTATTGATTGCCGAGGTGAATGTTTTGTTAAACCGCGTAACCATTTTGTGATCTCATGAAATGTGTTCGTTTCTTCTCGCATGCTACATCTCTGTATTCCTTCGCATCCCTGGAGTAATATAACTGAAGTTTGTACAAAACAACCCCTTTCTAATGTCAGTAATCTGTATGAAGAAAGTTGGATTAGTTTTACAATTTTACGAGGAGGAACTTTTAACTAGTTTCAAATAAATAATTTGAGGGTACTCGAATTTAGTAGCACTTATACGGAGGAAGAAATCATTTTTATTTTTTAGTGGGTCAAGTATAAAATGTCAGTTGAAAAAATCGCAAAATTTCAAGGAAACAAATAATAAATGCATCTGTACTAATCAACGTACTATAAATAAGCGATTATTACAGTGAACAAATAAAAAATAACTTGGTTACATTGTACCATAAATACATATTTAATTAAAAAATGCTGAACGTTTAAAATTTCACAAACTTGAATAGGAAATGTTACATTCATGATTTATGTCGACAGATATCCATTCCACTGGCTCAGTTCTCTATTCATTTACCCAAAGAGGCGATTCTCCAGCGAAGATTAATTCGTATGTTCCACGTGGCGGCTGATATTCTTCTCTGTATTCATTTCACTTTGGATCCGTACATTTATGTATTGCTGAGAATGTCACGACCGAGATTCCGCATCTTGAAACCGTTTTGCAAGATCTGTTGGCCCGCCAGAAGTCGATCGAATTCGTTCAACGGTGAGTTTGAAAATTATTTTGTTTGTTAAATGTTGAACCACGCAACTGGGATCAATATTAAAAACTTCGAAATTGAGTTCTTTGAAAAGTTTTGAGATATCAAATATACTTAGGGGATTAATTTATCTACTTTAGTATTCTTCAATTTTTATATTTTCTGTCTTCCTGCGTTTTGTTCAATTGTCTTCGGTTTTGGTTTTAGTTTGCAGTTAAATTGATTGCAGTTGCGTAACGTATATACTATATTTAATTACTGATCGATAATTAATTCTCAATTGCACTTTCGATTAACAAATGGGACGAGATTGGTATGTTTTTAACCCACTCGCTGCGCAACGATTCGTCGAAAATCAAAATGGCGAATCACTGTGGAATCATGTTAGGACAGAAACGTTCTTTGACAGTATTAAAAATTAAATAACAGTTATGCAATGAATATATAAAATGAAAATACTTCTATAACTCCTCTTTTGTATATTCACTTGCATACAAATATTTCAACGCTTCAACTAAACTTTAATTTTATTCTTCTATAACAAAGGTGTAGAAATTTCTATAACAAGGTACAAAGGTGTATAAAATCATTTGTAAATAACATTGATATTAGTTGCTTCTCAATCATTAACAAACGTTGATAACTCATTTTAGTGTAATCTATAATACAATGGCTCACACTGAAAATTGTCCGCTATTTTAGTTTTACAAAATTTGTACCTCATTCTACATAAAATAAATTAAATCGCACTATCAGTAGTCCTGTATATATATTCAATTAATAGTTTCATATATTTCACCCCCTCTGTGATGAATGTTTCTAAACGCACCCCTAATATCTACATATTCATGCATATTACAAAATTTTTGGTGTGAGCTACCGAATTAGATAGACAAATAGTGCAGCCTAATTCAGTGATGGGCAGCTCAAGTGCTCATAGAAGAGCTCATAGGGCACCGATGTGCACATAATCTCAAATTTTCAAATTTGGTCATTCAAAAATATGGCAAAATTTAAACATTTAGCAAGTAGAGAAATTTCAAATTTTCGAACTGTCAGATTCGGAAAATTACAAATTTCAAAACTAAGAAATTTGGAAAGTTAAGTTGGAAATTTCTAAATTACGAAATATAGAAATTTTGATTTCCCAAATCTTCGAAATATAGAAACTCGGGTAAAAAGTGTGGAGATGACATTTCCAAGTTTGCAAATTTACAAATTTCATGACTTGGCTATTCAGAAATTTAGAGATGAAAGCACTAGTCAGACTGAGAAACAATAATCCATCAGGAGTGTCCACCACTTGCACGTCCACTTGCCCATCACTGATCTAACCCGTCGCAGCTTACACAGCTTTCAACAACCGCTTATCAGTGTATATATGACAATATCGATGTGATGTACGATTCAAGTGGACTCTGTTTAAATACCTGACAGGTACTACAGACCATCAGGGCAGCAGTGGTGATCCGTCGACTCCGATCACCGAGGCACCCTCCACACCTGTTAGCGAGGAACGCGATCCTCAGTTAGTGGCGGTTTCCGTTTGAGACAGGCTTCAGCGAACGATCTTCCTGAAACGGCTCAACAGCCACGATGGCCAACCTTGAGCTGTTCGAACAAAACGGAAGATCTTCGCTCGCTTCGCTGCGAAAAATTTGATCGAACGACACGTGTATCAACCGTGTGAAATTTCGAACCGAACGATTACCGTTTCAAGAAGTTGTAAGAATTGGACAGTTCTTCATTTTCGAGGAATATCAAAGATCGTGCAAACCCGACGTTGAGATCGATACCTCGCTGATTTTCGTGTACAACTTTGTATCGGATGTTCAAACTTCTTTAATTTACTGTAATCTTAACAGTCCCGACTAATTATTCTAACACGATCTTTCAGAGACTAATCAGACACGAAAATATTAGAGAATTCGAGGTTATTGTAGAGGGGAGCAATCAGCATTCCAAATAATCGCATTCGATGTGCGTTTCGTTAATTTCCAAAGAATTTTAATTAGTTAACGAAATACTCTGCTCGTTTGCAGTCTGCAAGTGAGGGTGAGTCCTTCGCATTTGTAAATTGGGAAAGAATGTATTCTTGTAAAATGGCCTAATATATCGATGCACCGTACAGTGTCGACATTTTATCACCGTTGCGCAAATGTGTGTCTAGTCAATAAATTAATGCGAACGTGCAACAATTACAAACGAGCAATGCACAATTACCAAAGTATTCGATGCTTAAAGTGTTTCGGATAGAATTTAAGAAACGCGTGCATCTATTTTTTCTTGAGTATCGGTGGTGAAATTTGTATGTATATAGTTGATATACAGTTACATACTTAACGATTACTCTAAGTTTACTTTACCGGTGTAATTCATAGTCATAAACCGTATATTGTATCGATGTAATGGTACTAATAAATTGTAATCACTTTTGTTAAGCTTATATGGTGACGTTACTACCCTTTCTTAGAATTTTATTTCCACGCGATATCTGCGTGTTATATTTTATGGGTTAGATTACTGGGGTAGATGGGTTAGATGGGTTAGATTACTCACGCGTTTAATCACCTATACGAAATATTTCCACGCGTTGGATCAAATGTTAGTTCAAATACGTGTTGTATTTTTGCGCGTCAAATCACACGTTGTATTTCCCACGCATAATATTAACGAGCGCTGTATTTCTAAGCGTTGGGTCATTTACGTGCTGTATTTCAACGCGTTAAATCACCTACACGATAAATTACTAACATGTGTATTTCTACACATTAGATCACCTACGCATTGTATTCCCAAACATTTTTTTTACCTGTTGAACACATGTGATATGTGTTATATCTCCAGATGACCTATGAATTTATTTACGTGTTGATTCACGTTAATTTTTATGTATTGTCATACAATGTATCGTTTTGTATCGTCATGAAATTCTGCGTAACAAATCGTTGCGACGTTAAAAGCAGAAGAATATCGTCTAACGAAAATGGCGGGACGAAATAAGAAGACCAAGGAAGGAAGGAGTACATATAATACAAATATATTTTTACGCAATTACGTATCTCTTTGCCTCTAGACACTTATAACATTAATAATAACTTACGGACGCGATCGTTGCTGAATACACGACACCTTTTATTGCACACTAGAAATATACCACAGACGCATTCGTACACGGTATCAGTCGCGATACACCTTGCGTACTTTCGCATACCTTAATTAGCTATAATAAATAATATTTCTGTTTTTTCTCTCCCATCGTTCGTCCACGAAAATCGCTTTCTCTATCACACTAACTGTAAGGAAAATGAAACGGCTAGATTTTTTACTCGATCATGCTGATCGTCCATTCAGGTTGCAAACGATCACGCCATTTCATACAATTCCATTTTTGTCCACACACGCACGCAACGATGCAATTACACGTTGCATTACAGACAAACAATTATTCGTGAAAGACGTACGTCAAAGGCAGAATTCGTCACACGCATTTAATTAATCTCTCCCTCTCTTTCTCTCTCTTTCATACGTGATCAAACGCGTTAAAGATACACACGTCTCGCTACGATAATAGAAATTCACACCGATAAACAAAATATAAGCCCCGTGGACCACGATTTCATTAGCGATTTTATCTTGATCTCGAGCTTTAGGCTTGTGAACAGCAATTTATCACACGTATATGTCGATATCGTGTACATATAGTGTTTCCCTAGATCTGTGTTTCTCAAACTGTGTTCCTTCAACGGAAATTGAAACTTTCAGCGAAACAAAAATTAACTGAACTATGTATAAAAAATAATTCCTTTCCTCGATTTTCTTCATAGAAATAAACTACAAAAGAATAATGAAGCCAGTTCTAACACTCTTGCCCTTCAAGTTAAATCTTCAGAAAATTTGAATTTGTAATTAAAATTCACCCTTGAATTGGCGAATGTTATTCAGCTTCATATCACAAAAATTGAAAAAGTTTTGTGATGAAATAAAATTGGAAAAAGCTGTGGATAATCGTTTTTCTGAATGGAGCCAGTCGACAGGAGAAAATACGTTTTTAATAGAATAATTATTGAATTAACCCTCTTTTGAATTATGGATATGTTTTCGAACTAAGTATACTTTATTGAGGTAATTAATCATAAATTCGTTTGCAATTCAGTAAAATGGCACTTAAAAGAAATAATGGCTCGAGGAAACCATTTATTCAAAAAAGGATTAATGTTATGGTTAATAACCCTAAAGGATTAGGGTTATAATTGGATGTGTCTTGTATTTAAATTATTATTTAAATACAAGTCTTGAAGCTCGTCACCGGCTCTTTCAGTAAAACGATATCATTACTGATATTTGTTTGACTAATCTTCCTTTGTGCACGTTTCTACGTCTACACAACTGCTAACATTTCTGAAGGTACAATTAGTATGTTTCAAACGTCTATTCCTTCCATCGTACAATAAAAAAAGAAACTTATTGTTTCAACAAATTAAAGATCTAGGAAGAGGAGTCCGAAGCTGTAAAGTGTCCTCGGTCCTAGTTCAAAGAAATCGTAATAAAATTTCGACGATTATATCGCCGGCCAATTATTGAAATTTTTTGTGCGGAGAAAATCATTTTCTGTGTATAGGACTATTGGAAGAATCGATATCGATTAATTATTGTCAAATACGCTGTATGTTGATTTCGCAATGGTCGATACAACCGTGACGCGTTAGAAGTTGTAAAAAGGTCAAATATACAATGGTCTCTCGTTATATTGCCAACTTTACAACTTTTATTGGCGTTTTACTGTTACATTACCACGAACAGAATTTAGGAGGATGAAACTTCAATTTAAAAAATTTTTAGATTCTCAAATTGTTATATTTTCGTATTTTCTAATTTAGAAATTATAAATATTGTAATTTGGAAAATTTGAAAGTTAGAAATTTGGTGATTAGAAACTTTGGAAATTTAGAAATTTGGAAACCTAGAAATCCAAAACTCCAGAAATCTAAAAATCTAGAAATCTAGAAATCTAGAAATCTAGAAATCTAGAAATCTAAAAATCCAGAAATCTAGAAATCCAGAAATCCAGAAATCTAAAAATCTAGAAATCTAGAAATCTAGAAATCTAGAAATCTAGAAATTCAGAAATCTAAAAATCTAGAAATCTAGAAATTCAGAAGTTGAGAAATGCAAAAATATAAAAATTGATTGCATCAATACTGCCTCCCCCATCCATACTTCCATTAATGGCAATATAACAAGAGTCTATTTGAAACAGCTTAAGATCTACACTGAAGTACCCTGAAACGGGGAAGCTATAATGAATTGGCCTCTCGAATTTTGTACCATGAATACAGATGCAGACAACACATCAAATTCCTAGGTAAACATTGCAACTAAACTTAACCCTTCTATCCTTAACAACCATAGTTGCTTACTATAAAGTGATTCGAACAAACAACTATAGATTGCTTCTCAAACATTTATTGAAGGCATTAAAAGAATTTCTTCAATAAAATTCTCTGGCATTCTCTTGCAACAATTTTCAACAAAATCAAAAAAAGAAGAGAAAAATGTTATCAAATACATCGTCGTTTTGGTCTTCTACACAACAGGAGTATATTCGGCGCAATTGTCGCCCCTTTCTCTCGTTCACATTGGAGCAAATTACGAGTCCGTGGATCAGCAACTATAACAATATACAATCAGAGAAATTTCAATTCCAAAAAGGTGTTGTGATATTCGTATCCGATACGTATGCTAGCGACGCGTGCAGCGTTCAATAAACTCGATGGAATTCCATTTACGATTAAACACGAACACATTCAGTTTTGTGTTTATTAATTAAACGACTAACGAACGTAGTCGGCTTTCGCGAGCGCGCTACGTCGATCGGTGGACAATGATAAATTCGTTTTGGCACATTAACTCGATTAGTTCCCTTTTCTTTAGCGCGTAAATTATTTTAGGCCAGTGTCACCTCATGTATACATGTGTGTGTATGTGTGTGTCTGTGTAAGCTCGATACAACGCTCTTCCAGGTATCCTGTTTCGTTACATTTCATTGTTTCGTACATCGTCCTGGCGAGCACGCAAATCGAATTCTCGGAACGTATACATATCTTCCTGCTCGTTATTTCATTCAAGACAAAGCACAAACTCGCATGGAAGCGATTACCTGAAATCAACCAGCGGTAGCAACCATTCTGTTTATCAAAGTTGCAACGAAGGAATTGTTTGATTTCAGTGAACCGTTTCACACACTCCAACAAATGTCGAACAAATCACTTGAAGGTATTCTCTTGAGCTTTGATCACCGTTAATGACGAATGTTAGACTCCATAATCTGGAAACCGTGTTCTCCTCGATGCTAACGGACCTCCCTTATCCTGGTCTTGATCCACTCGGCTAAAACGAGCCAGAGAACCTTTCCACGTTCCCTGAAAAATCGTCGGGCGAATACGTCCTGAACAGCCACGATCGGACGATGACGGACCCGACCACGTGTGAATTGCACACGCGACAACGATTCCCACGGCGTGTCATGCCGACGTGCGTGAACTGCGGCCCTTACCTGAAAGCATCAATTCCTAACATTACTTCCTAACATTATTACAAAGTTAAGTTTATAGGAGATACGTTCCTTCGCATATATTCGTTTTACAATGAGAAAAAGAATACGTACCGAGGGCCGTACTAGATCACATCACACCTTCCATAGCAGCAGATGGTTGGTCGAATCCTCGCGACCAGCCTGCAGCTCCGCGGATGCTTGTGGACCTCTGAAGTCCTCGTAACCGTCTCCTCCCGAAATTACCAGCAGCTTTCCGCGATTGATGTTATTCTGCTGAGTTTTACTAGATTTCAGAGAGTATCTGTTCACCTTTGGACGTGGATCTGGTTTCGATGGCGCGATCGTTTCCACGCATGTAAGGAAACGAACGTGTCCGGTATGTCCATGGGGAATACCTAGTACATATTGCAAGATAATTACTTTGTAACTTAGTAATTAACATGCAACTTAGCAAATTAGTAATTAGACTTCCAACTTCATTCTTACAACAAGGAGTCTTTGAGTCAGTAAATGCTGTCTAAAAACGCAAACGATACTACAGAGAACTCGCATCTGTTATGAATTGCTATGAACATAACCTTCTGACCCAATCTCACGATCTCTTCAATTAAAATTCAATGTGCCTCGGTGTCTTCGCTCACCGAGCGGAAGAAATGCGAGAAGATAGACAGACTCGTACAAAAATACGAGTTTCGTCGCGAAACGACTATCGCAATTAAATTTTAAAGGCACCGAGAACATGACAGAATCGACGTCAAAGGTTTCCTAAGATTTATAATCGCTCGAGCGCCTTATAAATATCGCGCGTAGGCACGTTATCACGTGTAGGAAACGAATGGGTCCAAAAATTTCGCAAATGATTGATCGACGCCTGTATCTCGATGGCGTCGAAGCGGTACACTTCGCGGTAAGCACGATGTTCGCCCGCTAGCCAGCTTCTAATTATATCGGAAGCAATAACGATGATTATAGCCGATCGAAGGTGACGTCAATACCTACCAGTTACGATCGGCGGCTGAGACATCCTCTGAGTGGATGGCTTTATATGGGGAATTGGCACGGTTAATAGTACGCCGGCGCTTGTGCCGATCCAAAGCAACTCGTTGCAAGCCAAAAGTGCGGTGACCCTGAGACAGGCGGCCTTATGCTGTCGTATTATGTCATCGCAACCTGCAACAAGTTTAAAGCTTCCGTTAAAATAAATACCAGCAGAGAAAGTCTGTAGACAGAAGGCTGCAGACGTATTAGATATCTTTCACTGAGGTGTAGTGTTCAAAGGGACCCTGCAATTGGAGAAGTGACTGAAGCTTCATTTGTCATGCCTGTTAGGGACCTTGCAAAAAAAGTCACACATGGTCTCAGCATGTGTGGTAGGGTTTGGAGATATAAGATATAGGGTGTGGACATATTTGGTCAGCAATAAGTGTACAGGGAATCAGGTGTCAGTCTTAATCCTGCGTCAACTGACAAATAGAATGAGTTTTGTTAAATGTAAGATCTACCTGATCTACACAGCTTATTCATATACATATAGGTTAACTTTTTACAATAAAACAGATCAGTCATTTGCAAACAAATAAGTTAACAAAGATGTAACCAATGTCATAACCAATCTTCTAATACTTTCATTATAATAGTTCTAATTAAAAATTATTTTCAGAGTCAGGTGAGATACCTCAACACAACCAATTTCCAGATGTGGAGAACCTCAAGTTTTAAGATCCAATAAATTAATGGAACTAACAAGTTTGCGAACACCAATGATTAGATACTGGAAGGTCTTACAGGTAAGCATATAATCATCTTATATATTATATCTTGTATATAGAGACTTACTGGTAAGCATTTTGGTAACAGCTGGTGCAATATTGATGTCCGTCAAACATTCGTAGCTACCAGAATGGAAGAGTCGCAGTACGGCACTGTTGTGCAAAGAAATCCAGACTCCAAGACCACCTGAACTTGCCATACAGGAAACTGATAAGGACGTGTCGTTGCTGACAGCGAACGTGTGCTCGATATCCAACGTATGGGTGTTCAGGATTTTCACGGAGTTGTGACAACCGCACCAAAGTTTCCCTGACACCGGAAGCATCTTCGTGACCGGAGATGCCGCTGTACCGATTGACACGGTCGTCGGGTCGGGTGTGTTCCAACCACCCACTGCAAGTTTATTATTATTATCGATTAAGAATCGTTAAAATGATACCAAATATTGATCTAGTGATATTAACTTTACAACCCTTAAGAATCTTTGCGTGTATTTGTTGAAATAAAATATTGAGTTGTTAATTTTTAATGATCTGCTGAACTTACAATGATCTCGAGTGTAGACGGTGATGTCTCCGTTAGCTAGCGAAACGAATACTTTATTGTCCAGATATCTGAAATTTAATGATAATGTTAATTTATAACTGACCAAAAAGTTTATAGTATTTTGTATTTGTGGAATATTTCTCATGGAGAATGCTTTTTAAATTAAAATGTGGAAGGTGATGCAAAATTCGTTTTATGTAGCTGTTGTGACAAAAGTTGTGTTTGTCTACATTGTGGTTTCTGTCGTCGTTGAGACGATAATAAGTGATACGTATGCCGGTGGCGCTTGAGGCAACAAAAGGTTGCAATCATGTTCCTCATTTGACAAAAGTCTTACATTATGCAATGCACACTGCTATTGTGTTGTATCTTCACTTTGTTCTTCTTTATCCTGATATTGTCGTTGCAATTGTAAACATGTACGCATCCGTCTTCGGTTCCTAGCCACATGGTCGGCTGATTGACATCCTCCTCTGTCGTGACACTGTCGATACTTGGAACATCGCCGGCCAAAGTTAGGCTACCCGTATCTGCACATGGAATGTCGTCCGAGTCCGAGTCGTCGGAGCTCGAGCTACTACAAAATAGTTTTCTTAGACTTACAATGAACCGTCTTAAACACCGTTCGAAATTATATATACAGATCGATATAACTTGCTCAAAATCGACGTAACAGTTTAACAAAAAGTGACACTGAAAGATTTGTATTTTATAACAAGAAATCAACAGGTTCAAAGAAGCAAAAATATTTGAAAATTGGTAAAAACAGATTGTAAAATGAGTTGACTCCTGGTTATTTTGTCGGGTTCAAACTTTCAGTGAAGAGCATTACCTATCTAACTGTATGTTCCCGCCACTGGCATCGACATCCTGGACCGAGATGCTTATGCCGCTCTTACTGTTCGCGAATGAAATGTTGTTAGTCACGCACGAATTTGATCTAAAATATAATACAATTAAAGTAAGGCCCTCTTCTACTGATCTACTAAAAATTAGAAAAAAAGTCATTTCTTAAAAATACACCTGACTTAACCCTTTCAAGGACCTCGACGAAAATGCTGTTTCAGTAATGAAGTTTATGCTGCGTAATCGATACAATTTATTAATTCAACTTGACACAATCTATTATAAATATGAAGTCTTAATCACTTTCATTAAATTTTACGTGATACGTGTTTAATACAGAAAGAATTCAGCTACCGTATTAAAATCCTCACCCAATAATTTGCCTCGATTAAATAAAGTACAATTTCAATATTAAAACCTTTGCATTTCTCACGAGTAATACAAATCAATTTATTGAACTGATTATGAATGTATTTAATTTAAAAATAATCGATTACAGATTCAAAAGGCAACACAAACTTCAAGTTGAATATGAAATAAAAAGCAACTTTGCTAACAGAAATGTGAACTTACTTCTGCGTGCACGCCGGAATCCCAGCGACGCATAGAATTCTCGCGTTGCAGACTCCATTACAAGATGTAACCTGCGGTGGTTCCGGGGTCAAGCTCAACACACACACTTGACCCACGTATCCGTCGCTATTGCACACCCACACATCCCTGGAGCCCTGTCCATTGACCAATGTGGGTGCAGCACAGGTGAACTGCAAGCCGGCCCTGGTCTTTCGAATCGGCAGAGGACCCACAAATTCGGGGCATGGCCTCCTATCAGCGGACAACGCTGTAAGTTGACATCGACACGAGTCAATTAGGAGAAAAATTAGATGGATATCTCCTGAGTCTTGCTATATGAACAGTGTTATAACATAGTTCTAACAGAGTTCTTATAACATGCATTTGGTACAACTCAGCCATATAGAATTCACTATAGAGGAATAATTAAGGGCTCACCTAACTTTTGCTTGGCTTCGTTAAAACTCTCCTCCCAGCTAGCCCTTTTGTCCGGCTTTGTAAACATCACGGATATATTCTCGATTCCAGCCCTGAAAATAAACCGCAGAATTTCTGTCAGAAGGAAGTCACGTTGTGTCGACGAACGTTCGCGATACACGTGGACCAGGAACGTGCATGGGACAAAGAACAAAAACATGGTATTGTGGCTTTGTGGTCAACCCGCACGATGGACGGGGATCCGACGTTCAAATTGTCGGAGATTCTCTTGTTCCACCGAGGTGCAATTCATTCGTAACGTTGTTCGAGCGAGCAACCGATCGGTGGTCGAAGTTTGAGAAAACAATGAACCGAAGCTCGTTCGGGCGCGATGAAAGAGCTTTTCAAGCGCGATGGCGTTCGATGGAAGACGGACGGGAAACATCCGTGGCAGCATTGTTACTCACTGAGTGTTAAGCGTTAATTCCAAACAGGCCAACTGCGAATGCGCCGCGTTCCTCTCGGCCAATTGACGCTGTGCCTGGCCAAGCATATCCTTGATAAGATCCTCTAATTGCTGTTTTGCGCCGTGCAACGTTGACACCAGCTCCTGAAGTTGAGTCAACGTCGCGCAGTCTTCGCGAAGATGATCTACCTCGCGCGCCATTCGTCTCAAGTTCTCGTCTTTGGCTGCGGACAGAAGAGACGCTTAATAGCAAGTGCCGCGTGAAAAGATGACGTTGCCGATACTCGTGATGTGCAAGCTCGCTGTTTGCAGATTCGCAAAGAGCGATGAAATTTACCTTTCATCACTTCTAGGTCGTCCAGTGGTATTCTCATCAACATTTTGTACTTGTTCGCTTCTAATAGGCCAACCAGACTGTTCGGACAGGAACTTCTGAAAAAAAAACGAAATCTGTAGCTTAATAAATTTGTTCAGGATTTTTCTTCAAGAACACATTTCTATCGAAAGATGATAATTTATATAAGCAAAATAAAGCAATCATATACTAACAGATATGTATCCACATTGCATAACCGATATGTTTATTTCGCACGTATAGAATATGAATAAACTTACGATTTTGATAAAATCAATAAGTATTGAAACGTAGTTTTTAAGCAGATTCACTCACGTTGACGGTTTTCTGATGGTTCCGCTTCTTCTCTTGATACTGGTGATGACCAGCAAATCGGAGAACAAAAACAGCGCTCGTTCCTTCCTCGTTCCCTGATTCGACGCTATGGTGACCAGATCGTGGCGGACAAACGTTCTGCGGCAAAAATGGACGATTCAAACGAATCTTTTTGTTTTTATAGCAATTTCTACCGCAACACGCATCGGTATCGGGAATCGATACGGGAGCACACGCTTAAAGCTTGAATAGTTCATGAAGTGAAAAAGCTAGCGCAACGTTTTATAGAAGGTTTCCAAGGGGGTGCCTCTATTGTGCGTTCAATTTCTTCCAAACAATTTTACACGGTAAATTCAGCGCAAAACGGAAACAATTGATTTTACTATGTTCGTGAGACTAATATTAATCGCATACGATTATAGCTGTGCATTTTCATTAATGAAGTTATTTCATGTGTTCAGACATAATAAAGTATAAAGTAAATGAGTTGGGTAAATTTATGAACATGGAGGACCAATGGTCGTAACAGTCGAGATCCTTATAAAATCAATCAATGAACATGGAATCATACTGATTGCAAAGTATGACAAGTCAAGAAAAATTACTATTCGAAATTTCTTTCAACCATGTCGAATGAAGAGACGCATCAAAAAATACTGAAAAGAATATTAAATTCGCAGAAGTTCGCATTGGGTCATGATTCCATAAAGCAACCACCACTACAAGCCACTCCAGTTATTAAAACCTGCATTAAATTGTAACATCATAAAAATCGAACCTATTCAACTCGAGCACTTTGACAACTTTAAATTTATAAAAATGTTAACCCGTCACATTATACTTGTTAAGTGATATCGATAAACGTTATCCTACGAATGTTTCTCTTCAGATTGTTCCATTTACAGAAGACCTATTTCTATATTTTTTATGAATTTTATTACGAAATAAACTTACCTGTCGTTCGTTACGATACCAGCAAGTCCTTCGACGAGTGCCTGGACCTCCCTCAAAGTAGTCTGCTGCTGTTCCCACTCGAGAGACTCCCTTTCCGTGCAATTGATCTTCACGACCAGCTCGTGCACTTCCTTTTGAGCGGCTTGAAGCAATTCGTAATCCGGATGCGTGGTATCAGTATGTTTCAGCAGCCTCTGGATCAGCAACTCGTAACGGGGTATCTTCTGTACCGGCTTGATCAATAACTGATCCAACCCGAGTTTTCCTTTGTGTTCCCGCTCCATTGTCTGTCGCGGAAAGGGACAATCGAGGCATACAAATTTGCTCATCACCATACAGACAGGCGAAGTCGCGAGTTACGTGCAGCAGAAATGGGATAGAGTTTGATATTATCGACAGTTACGGTTAGAAGTGTTTCGATTAGTTGCTGGTCACTTGGACGCATCAGGTATTGAAGGACTAGGTATAGGATTAGATAGATGAAGGATTAGGAGATTGTCGAATGCTGCTATGAGATTCTAAATTTGGGAACTCTGAAATGTATACACTAATTTTTAATTCTGAAACTTTTAAACTTGCAATTCTTGCAAGTTTGCAATGCATGCAAATTTTCAAATATTAAATTTGGAATTTGAAACTTGGAATCTTAGAAACGACAAATTTCTGAAATATGTGAACTTGCAGATATTAAAAGTTACAATTCAAAATTTGCAATTCTTCGATTCTTAAGTGCTGCACTTTAGGAACTTGGAAATGAAGAAAGGAAACTTAAAAATTTGTAGATGAAGTTAGAATTAATTTGGTGAAAAATTGCAAAAGTTATCAACCTAAAAATTGTGAAGCAAAGAGTTGGTGAAAATGTGCCCAACTGCTTGAGAATTAAAAAGGTTCGACGTGAAATATTTTGGTATTGTCCGAAATCGTGTACCATCGTTAGAGTTTGGATAATTTGGACGAGCACAAAGGTGTAAATTGTGATGAAGTTGAACAAGCGTCGTGAAGAGCGAAGAAGACAAAAACGTTAATTGGAACAAGGGAAATTAAAGAGAATACACTGTGTACCTCGAGGAATCGTGCGAAAGCCGGTTTCGCTTGGCAGGTCGTTTTTATCGCCTTCTTTGCGGATTTCCAATTATCAAGGAAAAGGGTGTACGTCTCCAAGACGACTGGCTTCGTGAACTGAAAGAAACAGGCTTAGAGTATTCAATCTTGTACCTCCATTATGTTAATTGAATGAGTTTTTATGTAACAGCGATTAATCACTGCGATAATAAAGGAATTTAATTACGAATATGTAAACTGGACATTAATATATTGACATTACACAGATTGTAGTCATTGATACCAATATTGATATAGAAATTAAAATAGCATTATCGGTAATAAATCTTGATAATCTAATTTAATGACAAGTATCACGATAATTTTATATTATGATTAATGAATAATCTTTCGGTTAATTTGAATCTGTGTTTTTTAATTGTTTTTAAATTGATGCTCCTTTTTTCACATTCTGTGTGATATTCACTGGAATATTGCAGTCGTATTAAAATTAAGGGATGTAATTTTTCTGTAAAAATATTTAGAATTGAAAATGATTATAAGAATGTTAGAAATACCTTAAGATCTCTTACAAGCTGTCCTCGATGACATTACTTACAAGTAATATAAAGGACTACAAGTAATTACAAGGAACTTACAAGTCAATCGAGAATGTAAGAACATATTTTAATGAAATGAAATAATTATTTGGCAGAAAAACGCACCACATCGAGAAAAACATCACCAATCGTCTGCTTAAGTTCCCAAGTATCGAGTCTTTTGCGTAGTTCTTCCAAGAATACCTCGTGATGATTGAGTATAGAGGGAATCTGAAAAGCATGAATATTCTCAATTAACAATAAAGCGATTGTACGCGAGACAATAGGGAGAATAGACGCTATTAACTGCTTTCCAGCTATTCAGTTTCCACTTAACAAATAATTATGATAGAAAAAGACAAGGTGTATAGGGTATACAATCATTGGATCTCACAATAAATGTGTAGCACAAATTGTTAAACGCACTTAGTGAGTTCAGTTTACTTGTAGGTTTAACAAGTTTAAAGTTTGTGCTCAGTAAACTTCTAAATTTTGGGGTTTTTAAATTTTTAGATTTTGGGGTTTATAAAGTTCTAATTATAGGGTTTAGAGATTTATAAAATTTGGGATTTCTGGATTTTTTAATTTTAGGGTTTCTGAATTGCTGGATTTTGGGGTTTTTACATTTGTAAATTTTAGGGTTTACAAATTTTTAATTTTAAGGTTTCTAAATTTTTAGATTTTAGGGTTTTTATATTTTTAAATTTTAAGGTTATTAGATTTTCAGATTTTGGCGTTTATACTTTTCCAATTACAGGGTTTGGAGATTTATAAAATTTGGGATTTCTGGATTTTGCAATTTTAGGGTTTCTGAATTGCTGGATTTTGAGGTTTTTACATTTCTAAATTTTAGGATATCTAAATTGTTAAGTTTTAGAGTTTCTAAATTTTTAGATTTTGGGGTTTTTACATTTCTAAATTTTAAGGTTTCTAGATTTTTAGATTTTAGGGTTTATACATTTCTAATCACAGGGTTTATAGATTTACAAAATTTTCCACTTTTAGGGTTTCTGAATTGTTAGATTTTGTCTATATTTACATTTATATATTTTAAGATTGGTGAATTTCTAAAATATGAGATTTCTAAATTTTTCAATTTCAGAGTTCCTAAATTTTTTTTCATAATTTTTGAGATTTTTAGTTTTTGATGTTCTTAAATTTCTAAATCCCACGTCATCAACATTCAACCTTCAAAAATATACAAAACCCAAAAATATTTTCCACTTCACTAAAACAACAGAATCTACATCTACCTAACAGGTCTACTACCTATCCTAACAGTTCAGTTTTCAGCAAACGTTTCATCAAAATAGATGTACGATGAGTATAATGGAAGTACGGTTTGTCCATCATTTAAAACAAATTACATCCCATTTAATCTAGTTCCTCTTAATGGAACGTTAATACTCGCGTATTAGCCTGTAATTAGGAAAATAACGTTATGTTTCCAACGGCGGTAAATTACACGTTCCTCGTCACACGAGTCCTGATTTCGTTAGCAGATACAACCGGCGCGGAATCGTGTTAATAATTTTTATTCGTTTCGATTACGTGATAAGCGATTTTCTTTTATCTATTTTCTCGAACGTAAAATCAAACCAACACTCCCGTGCTTCGTGTTAATTGAAAGATTGTAACGAGCGAACAAATCGATCGAGTAAATGGCGTCAAAGGAATTCGCGTGAACAGATTTCGCTTTCGTTCGGCCTCTTTTTTATCGGTTCGGTGCTTGTACCGGTATGAATTCCAGCGCGACAGGATCGCACGGAATTTACGCCAAGTGGAGAATCGCGAATATAGGCAGACACAGGAATGGTACGCTCGATAATTCTCCCATCAATATTATTGTACGTTTCTCGAATATCAGTAGTGTCACATCAGGATTAATCCGATCGCGAAATGCAACAAATTATTACAGGGATTAAATCGTTAGTACCTTATAATTAAGTCTTCTTAATATTTTTCATCGTTAATATTATACAATTCCTACTTTACAAAGATAAAAATGTTTCTGTCAATCTTTTTTGGTACGAATGTTTGTGAGAGATGACTTTACCTGATAGAAGATCTCGTCCACCGTCGCTGAGTCCACCAGACCAGCATTTTCAGGACTCTTCAATGGTTGCAAGTATTTCTGAAACCATAAAGTTGATTATCAAATAGAGACGTACTAATATAACACTTTTATTCTTAATTTTGTCTTAGAGAAAGACGACTACCACTACTACTCCTTAGTAAATTTTGTCTTAGAATCTCTTTGCATCTTCTAGACCCTCCCTCTTATACAACTAACAAGGAAACATATCGAACCGGGACACACCGATTTTAATGAAACTTATGTAAAAGATAGTTCTCAAGAAAATATTCAACACGTATTTTTTTTATCGACTATCGTTCACATTGAAGGGACGAAAATAGCCCTCGAAGTTGGGGGTTGAAATCATATTTTTGGGAATATCTCCTTCGTTGTAAGTTTATTACAATCTGTAGATCCCTCTAATTATTTCTATACACAGTCAGATTTGTATCTGACTTTAATTATGATTATTTCGACAGTACAAGTCCAACATACATTTGATGCAACTTGACAAAATTTAATGCAATTCGACTGTTTTCTAAAATGAAGTAATACGCCTATCAAACGCAGTCTTCAGTTTGAAGGTACATGGGGATTTCAGCAGACGCCTAATTCAATCATCGTAACGTCACCCGTCGCAATCGAGGAATATTAATTACGTACGAATAACATCAACACGCTTAATTATAAGTGGAAAACGTTCCGTTCGCATTTCTTCCCGTCCGCGTCTATGTGTCAGCTGCCACTGAGATATTCAGGTTAAACGGCGTCCCTCACTTTACTTTTTTTCCATGATTCATAAATAAATGCATAAGCCCGCTAATGTGGTAGTCATGCAATTCCCTGAATTCCATTACACTCGAGTGGAGAGGTACGGGTCGCGAGAATACGAGAATCAATCGATAAATGAGACTGCCGAGATCTTTTTTCAATTTAGATCACTATGTGGAGAGATCAAATAGGTGGTGGGTTGCAATGTGGGAAGGTGGATTTCTTGGGACTTGAAAATTTAGAATTTTGGAAATTTAGGAATTTGGAAATTTAGGGTTTGGAAAATTTCAGAATTGGGGGATGTAGAAATTTGAAGGCGTTAGAATTTGGAAATTTAGAAATTTGGGGATTTAGGAATTTAAAAGTTTAGAAGTTTGGGGATGGAGGAATTTGGAATTTTCTGAATTTGAGGATGCAGGGATGTGGAAGCTTCAGAATTTAGAAATTTCGGAAATAGGGGATTTAGGGTTTGAGAAATTTCAGAATTTGGGGATGTAGAAATTTGAACGCTTGAGAATTTGGAAATTTAGGAATTTGGGGATTTAGGGATTTGAAAATTTAGGAATTTTGGGATTCAAGGGTTTGGAAATTTCAGAATTTGGGGATGCAGGGATGTGGAAGCTTCAGAATTTGGAAATTTAGGAATTTGGGGATTTAGGGTTTGGAAAATTTCAGAATTAGGGGATGTAAAAATTTGAACGCTTGAGAATTTGGAAATTTAGAAATTTGGGGATTTAGGGATTTGAAAGTTTAGAAGTTTGGGGATGGAGGAATTTGGAATTTTCTGAATTTGAGGATGCAGGGATGTGGAAGCTTCAGAATTTAGAAATTTCGGAAATAGGGGATTTAGGGTTTGAGAAATTTCAGAATTTGGGGATGTAGAAATTTGAACGCTTGAGAATTTGGAAATTTAGGAATTTGGGGATTTAGGGATTTGAAAATTTAGGAATTTGGGGATTCAAGGATTTGGAAATTTCAGAATTTGGGGATGTAGGGATGTGGAAGCTTCAGAATTTAGAAATTTAGGAATTTGGAGATTTAGGGATTTGGAAAGTTGAGAATTTGGGAACTTAAGAATTTGGGGTATTAAGTAAGGGAGTTTGAAATGTCACTATTTGAAAACTTATTAATTTAGAAATTTTATAAATTGAAACTATAAATTGAAACTTTATAAATTCAAACTACTAATTGGAACTTTATAAATTGAATCTTTACAAATTTAAACTTGATGACTACAGAGATCCGACAATTAGGAAATTTTTAAATTTGAAAGTTCGGTATTCAGAAACGTTTAAACGAGAACTTGGCTACCCATCAATGCCCGCCGTACTGAATCACCCATCACTGATTTAGACCGTGTTTTCATGTCCATCTTTATTTCCAAGGTGGACGACCAACTAGCAATAAATAACGGACTACTGTTTAACGAGCTACATTAAGAGTTCCGAAGTAAAAGAAAAACCATTGGGAAACTCGAACAACGTGATGGATTGAATTCGAGGTACTCCACGGATGTTCAACTATCTATTCAATGGTGGATAGTTGAGCAGGATATATTTTTAGATACTCTTATACTAATGGATTTGAAATCCGGTTAAATGAAAAGCTTTAATGGAATTTAATATAATATATGGTCACAATTATGAGAAATTCAGTTCAGACACGCCATGTATTAAATGAATTAAGTTTAAGGAATGAATGTGTTCGAATTTAAGTTGTACTCAAAAAATTACATTTCCAAAAGTGTAGTACTATAATAACAAAAATTGTTAAACTGCAAATTGAAATACAAACGTCACGATCAAAGACTAAATTTTTTTTCTCATTATTTTAATTAAGTATTCAAAAAAGAATAAGCACTTTCTTCTTGTGGACTCATTTTAGCAAATATACGTCTCATGTGCAGTTCAATTTTCAATTCAATTTTACAATTCAACTCTCTTCAGCAAAATTTGTCAGATTAACGGTGTCATAATTTTCAGCCAAAAACAGTCAGTCTAGACGAAAGAAAATACCCAAAGAACGAAGTGAACGATAAACAAAAAATGTTCTTCACAATGGTTTAAGAGAAGTTTGCGTCGAATGCGAAATCAATCGCTTTAATAACAGGATGTCTCCATCGTCGGTTTCCGGGGGATGAATTAACACCACGGCCGTGATCGACTTGACGGGGAAACGCGCACGTCCGGTTTATTTGTGCTTTCCTGATAGATACATTTCTATTATTTTTCTAGGTCGAAGCGACGACATGAAAAATCGCAGTTCCCGACATAGTCGGCCCCAAGGCTGTCGCTAAATAATCAGCCAGCTCGAACAACAATCATCGTGGCGCGGGTGGCGAGATGTTTATAAAATATGACAATCAAACTGGGGTGGGTTCGTCGTGTTCTGGAATCCGAATTCTCGGTGAATCGCACGAAAAAATCTCCTCACGAAAACTGTCTCTCGCGTGGAACAGTTGCTACTTTTAACCCTCGTACTCGGAAATAGTTTACGCGAAAGACCCTCGACGATAGTGCATCGATCACTTCTTTTTGATTTTTAAAGTCGGTGAGTGCAGGTTAATTTTTTACGATTTCTTTAGAATTTCTGGAAGGCCATCAAGATTTCTTTGGGATTTCTTCAGGATTTTTTGGGGGATTTTTTCAGGATCTCTGCGGGATTTATTTAGAAAGTCTTCAGGACTTTTTTGAGGGTTTCTGAGGGATTTCTGAGGGATCTTTGAGATGTTTTCAAGATTTCTTCAAAATTTTATTCAGAATTTGTTCAAGGTTTCTTAAGGATTTATTCACGATTTCATACTTAATTCCTTCAGGAACTGCATCAAATGTCACAGACGTAAACAGGACAATTTTTATTATTTCAGTATGTAATCAAATATTTATCTCATTCAGTATGTAGTAGAATATTTCTACCAATTAATTCAAACTTTTATAGTATCCAAATTAAAACACAGATATTTGACAAAGTCAATCTCATTATTATAATTAATTATTTAGCTATACGAAATTTATTTCGTTGCATCCATTATAAATGTACTACACAAAATATTATATACTACAAAAATTTTGTATTTTATCAACCATTAACAGGCAACAAATTCCATGATCAATAAAACAATTGAAATCACTTATTTCTCATTCCAATTAAAATCTCCTGTTACATTTTTTCAAATGTTACTAATTTATACTAACATAGATAGTTTAAATAAATTCATTGAATTTATGAATGAATCAGAAATATTTGTTCACTACTATTTTCTTATCAGAACAGAAATGCAATATATAATATTGGGAAGAACTTATACAACAAAGGGTTGTTATTCGACCTCAAAAGACAACCTTGACAATAAATGTCAAGGTTCGTATGCACAATTAAGTTGCATACTTAACGTAACAAATTTGCACCCTCCGCTAACAATCGAAAGGGTTGTTCAATATTCAGAACACCCCTCTCTCGTAGCCACCTTGACAAATGCAGATCGCTGAAATCGTACGTGCATTCAAATGCGTGACGTATCGATACAAGCAAATAAATCTGAGAATCGAGTTTGCCAGAGATCGATCCCATTAAATTCAAAACACGTGCGTCTCGACTGCACAGGGGTTGTGTTGCGAAGGTTGCGTCCCATTTAAGCGTCGATTTGCAACCGTGTTTATGAAGAATCGTCCTTCCGTGATCGCGTCGAGTCGCAGAGAGGTGGCACGGTAATTACGACGGACTAATTGCAGGCATTATTTATCGATCCGGGAGCCTTCGATACGAATACCAGGATGAAACTCGAAGCGTGAACGGGACCTAGCTTCTTGAAATGTCAAACGACGAAGAAAGCTGCGTTTCCCGTCGTCGACGGTTTTCTCGGGTTTTGCGACACTTTTTGCCAGATGTTTCTGCGGAGATTTGCTGACGGAGATTCGTTTGAAGAAATCGAAAATGGTGGGTAAGGACGAGGTGCAGGACTCGAGTTTTCAATTTGGAGAAAGAAAAAATTTTTTATTTGTATGTTTTGATATAACATTTCTGGGGATCGACATTTTGAGTTACAAATTTTTGTTATGAAGTTGAATATTTTTAGGCTTACAAATATTTCACAAGTTCCAAAGTTCTAAAATTTACAAATTTACAAATCTGAAGATTCTCAAATCACCCAGTCTCAAAATTCCCAAATTTCCAAATCTGAAGATTCTCAAATCACCCAAAGTTCCAAAATTCCTAAATTCCCAAATCCTCAGACTCTCAAATCCCCAAACCCAAAATTCCGTTTCCAGATCCCCAAATTCTCAAGTACCAAAATTTCTACAAATCCCTCTTCAAGTTATCCAAATCCCCAAATTCTCAAATCCTCAAATCCCCAAAACCCCAAATCTCCAAATTACCAAATAAAATTTCCAAATTTCCAAATTTCTAAATTTTCAAATCTGCAAATCCTAATAGCAATAATAATAAACGTCACCCCCTTGCTTCCGCCAAAATGACAAAAATTGCAGTGCTATGTTTATATTTTATCTGCATTCTACCTCTGACCTTTTAAAAAGGTGCGGAATATAAAAAATTTCAACCCTCCATCGGGTGACCGAAAAGGATTCTGTAAATTCTCTCTCATAATTCTCCTTGTGCTGTTTCCAGAAGCTATTTCATACCGGGACGTTTACTTTCCATGTGGAAATCAGAACTCGATTTATCTGACTTACTCGCTTAATAATCAACTGTCGATGCCATTCTCAGCCGCTTTAATTTATGACTTCAAAAGCTACGTTCGCTCGGTTCTTTGATCGTTGAATTCAGTAGGTCAGTTTAATCCGGAGATTCTGTTTAAAATGCAACGAAAGATTTTTCTGCTTCATTACACCATTATGGTATAAATTAAACCTAATTCTGCATACAAGATTTCTTCGTTTATCTTTCATTACACGTGCAAACATGGAAAACGTTCTTGACTAAAAAATTAATTAAAATTGAAATAGTAGTTCAACTCACGAGATAAAGCTCGAATCAATAATCCTAACGTAGTTGAAAGTACAAGGAATGGGAGAGTTTCGTAGTCGATGCAACGTTTCTTGCAGCAATTTCAAGAACTTACCAGGAAACGTTCGTCTAATCCGGTCGGCATGTTTAATGAAAACAACAAGTCGGAGGATGCGTGGCTGCATAACTTAACGAGAAGATGTTCACGAAGTAGATCACTCGAGTGGAATCCTTGCTTGAACGAAGTAAATAAACGGGCAACGAGCTTGTTTACGAGAAACAAGGTCGCTGCTTCGATGTTCGAAGAACTTTCGAAAAGCACATACCGACGACGTGCTCGCTGAGATTTCGCCGGAAGCGAAAACAGCGAACGCGATTTGCAATAATGTCGAAACAACGGTCTACGTTTGTGATCTGTTGTACTACTATTTTGATGTATTAGAAGATGTAACAAATTTTAATAAGTTTTTGCAATTTTGTGTTTTTGTGTTGTGAGATTAGTTGGGGTATGGTGATTTATTAGGGAAGCTTAAGTAAGCTCGTAAGTAGTACAATCTCTACACTTCCATTTCTATGTCGTCAGATCTCCGCATTACCATTCTACATCCTTAGATTCATCCCCTAGTCCCTACATTCTCATATTAGTGCATCCTTGAACTTCTACATTCCTACATTCCTATATCCCAAGCCATGTATCCCCAAATCCCCATTTCTCGAATTCCTATACCCCAAATTCCCATTTTCCAAATTCCTAAATCTCCAAATTCCTACACTCCCGAATTTCTAAATCTCCAAATTTCTACACACCCCAAATTCCTACATTCCCAAATTTTTAAACACCCCAAATTCCTACACTCCCAAATTTCAACACTCCCTAATTCCAAAAGCTCCAATTTTCTACACTCCCCAATTCCTAAATTTCCAAATTCTCACACTTCCAAATTTCTAAATTTCCAAATTTCTACACGCCCCAAATTACTACATTCCTAAATTTCTAGACACCCCAAATCCCAAGGTTCCCAAATTCTCAAGATTCCATACCCCAAATTTCCATTTCCCGAATTCCTATACCTCAAATTCCAACACCCCAAATTTCTACATTTCCAACTCCCTACCTCTACCCCTCCACATCCCTAAATCCCAACAACTAGCAACCCTACATTCCTCCACTTCTACAGCTCTGTAGTCCGACATCACTATACTCACAATTATCACTAATAGCCAGTAATATCTCTTGAATATTTTCTACCTACATTTACTCTACCAGTAATTGAAGTTATTAGTTCATATTTTTCAACTGTTTGTTATTCATCAAGAGTGTCCAAGAGAAAAATGTAACAAACTGATTGAAGCACAAATTGACTGACATATAAATTGGAATTAAATTCCGAGAGCACGTGTTATTATTCTACGTAGTAATATTGCATGGATATGGATTCACAAATTTTATTGGAAGAATATTGTACTCACATTGACTAGTATTTGCAACGCTTCCACATACGACCTCTCGGTGTCATAAAGTTCCACGACCACGTGAGTCCTTGTATCCTGGAACACAAAAATTGCAATTATATATCGAGATGAAAATGAACTTGAAATTCAACGGTTTTTAATGTATCTCGTATTTGTGAAGAGAAAAGAAAAATCGGTGAATATTTTGTAAACGTTAAAGAAGAAGCGAACTTTCGATGTTAAAATAGAAAGATGTACCATGTTCTTTTATGAAACACGAGTAAAATCGTTGCGTACACAATTTATTCCGCTGAAGAAATAATGGCCTTCCTTTGGCGTATTAAATTTATCCGAGCTTAACAACAAATGTTCTTATAAGTATGAAAAACAGAAGTAATCCGATTTGTTCAGATCGAGAGCAAAGAAAATGAGTTGGAAGAAAGGGCTGATATTTATTTATGAAAATTCCAATTATCGGATGAACAGTAGCTTAAAATATCTTACTATTGCATATATGAATTAAATGCAATGTAACATATGTTGGAGTTCGTGACTGATATAACGAGGCTCATATAATCGAATACTCGAGATGTACATATTTTTTAGGTACGCTAGTAATGGTAACGAAATGTAAATTTTGGAGTAAAGGGTTTTGTCTTACGATTGTTTCTACTGTGAAACTGAATGTATTTCATTCTGTTCTTTATTACACTATGGAATATTCAGTAACTTGCTTAGGAAAGCAAGACAAACTTTTAATAATTCCACCGTGACTATGAAGATAGGCATTCAAAGTGTTGTCCACGTAAATCTACTCCAGGCATAGAAAAATCTCACATCTTGTATTTTTTCTAATTGTCTACAATTGACAAAATATTTCCACAAATTAAGATAGAAAATTTATTATTTGAAATATTTCCATAAATTAAGATAGTAAATTTAGATATTTCATCGTACATTCAAATGTCATGATCATCAAGAAACACAGCTACGAAATTCTGATTATCGAAACAACGTGAAAGGTGGCCAGGTCCGCGTAGTCCGGAATTTTTGAAATCTGTTCGTAACCACGGGTATCCGTTAATTGCATCGTTTCGTCGATTCGTCAATTATTCAAAAAACAACGGAATCCGTTTCACGGTTGTCCCGTGATAAAGATCCCACGTGTATCCACGTGTCGCGTGCAAGCACGTGCGGCACATCACGTGTTTCCCGATGCCATCACGGCACTGATTACAAGAAAAACCGTTCCCGTTACGTAAACCGTAAGACGCAATAGATAATTTTACGGCCTGGCTCCCGACAATTGCACCGTAATCGACGATTATGACATAACCGAGTATAATGTCGAGGTTGTTTCCTACCGAGCTACGCACCGCTCTCGTGTACTTCATTTTTTCAGCTCGTGCTGTTTAACGCGGTAAATGTCGCAGTGAAAGTGGACTGTAACTAAAATCGTTTTACGCATTCCATTTTCAAATTAAGCTTTCAATTTCATATTTTCAATTTCAATTTTCAAATTAAGCTTTCAATTTCAATTTTCAATTTCAATTTTCAATTTCAATTTTCAATTTCAATTTCAATTTTCAATTTCAATTTTCAATTTCAATTTTCAATTTCAATTTCAATTTACAATTTCAATTTTCAATTTCAATTTTCATTTTCAATTTCAATTTCAATTTTCAAATTAAACTTTCAATTTCATATTTTCAATTTCAATTTTCAATTTCAATTTTCATATTTGTACTTGAAGGTTGGTAGCTCTCGTTATATTACCACTTTTATAAGGGACTTTTCAGAGCTAAACTTCTGTTCATTATTATTACATTACTATTATTTATTACATTTTGAGACAGTTTGTCAAATTTTGTGTTTTCATATAAACATGTGTTGTGTTTCTACATATTGCAACATATGTTTCTACACATTCGTGTGCGTGCAATTCTACATATTGCATTTGCATGCGTTGCATTTCTACATATCGCATTTGTACATTCTATTATCACATGTGTTCCAACCACGCGTTCTATTTATACGTGTTCGATTTCTACACATATACATGTACATTGACCAATTTATGTTTATCAATTTTTATTTCAATGAAGGACCATCCTTACCATCAATCGTTCGCAAGTATTTTGAAAAATCTTCAGATTCAATTTTCTCGTAAAGAGATTCTACGAAGAGACTATAAAGCATTCTCGACTTCGAACTCTTCTTTCAGGTTATACCAAACTCTTCAAGGACATAATGTTTATATTTAAATTCACACAATACTAATATTATTCCTTTAGAATTTATACAGTTATTACAAATAAACAAAACCTAAGTTCAATTCTTCCTAACCTCAAAAATATCCCTGAAGAGGTTAAAACCACCTGATACATCGATTACCTAAATCATATATCAAACAATTACCTAATTGTGTATAAAACATAGGAATACTTCATGCAACATTTAGAAATATCTACGACCACTAAATACGCGTGCGTTATAATGTGTCCTCTGATGCAGACGTTATAATTTGACCCTCCATGACACGGTACAAAATATATTTGGGAACGCGTGCAGGAAATTTCGCGTAGAACAACGCGACGACGAGAGACGAGCATGTGTGCACCGGCAGGCAATGACACAGTGTTTGCGTTACATGTGTATTAATACGGTCAGTGTGCACGGTGGATTCGTGTAAGCATGAAAAGGAAAACTACCCACGCGGTCTGTGTTGACACGCTCGTTATTTTCGCTGTCCACCGACGGCTGGCTGATGAGTTTCCGATCAGCGTTCATCGTCATCCTCTTCCACCACCTTTGCCGATCCTTCGAAACGGTTCAGCAGCCTCTCAAATTGCATATCAATCCGGCTCTCCACACAGGAGTCCCATGTCGAGCGTTTTCACGATTGTCAACGGCACACTCGTCGCGATCAACGCGTTCAACAACGATATCGAGTCTAATTATCGAGGAATTTCTTCATCGAACACGACAATCATCTAGAAGAGTCAAGTTCGATCATTTTCCACTCTTCGTAGAATTTATCGGGCTCAGAAATACGTTCTTACCAGCTTTTAACGAAATCGACAATTTTGGCGGGAAATTTTTAAGTTTTTAAAGGAGGAATATATGTTTGAAAACTTCGATATTAAGATTTTCAGATTCAGAAATTTATTTAACTAGGGGAATTACGAAGCGTTATATCTGATGGAATTGGTATCCGTGGAATTATGCGTGTAATTACTATGCCTGGAATTGATATGTGTGGAATTAGTACGTATGTACTAATGGTATGCGCTGAATTATTAGGCATGAAATTACCACGCGAAGAATTGCTGTGTGTGAAATTACTATGCGCGAAATTATTACATGTGGAGTTGCCAAGAGTGAAATTACTAAGCGTGAAGTTACCATGCATGGAATTACTACGCGTGATTTTACCACGCATGGAATTACCACGCGTGAAATTACTATGCGTGAAGTTACAACGCAGGGAATTACTACGACTGGAATTACCACGCATGGAATTACTACGCGTGAAGTTACAACGCAGGGAATTACTACGAGTGGAATTACCACGCATGGAATTACTACGCGTGAAGTTACCACGCATAGATTTACTACGAGTGGAATTACTACGTATGGAATTATTACGAGTGGAATTACCACGCATGAAATTACTACGCGTGAATTTACAACGCATGGAATTACTACGAGTGGAATTACCCCGCGTGAAATTACTACGCGTGAATTTACCACGAATTAAATTACTACGAACGACCCAAGCATTAAGTCGCTAAATATGACACGACTAAATCATCCAAAAAGAACTAATTTCTACACCTAATACTAATTTGTACCTAATACTAATTCGTTCAAAAGTGAATGTACATTTTCCGACGCTCAATATCATCTTCTCTATTGCTAATCAGTGAAATACAAACGTATTTCTTGTTCTTCATTTTCCTCATTTCTCGAAACACTTAAACCCTGTCCTTCTGCACAGTGTACCCGAGAACGTTAAAAATATCAGCGAATCGTGTAAAAGCTATATCCAGTTACAGACACGAAAGAGTTACAGTATCGGAAAAGCCAACGACGTGAGAAAAGGAGCTTTCCTTCGATCATCGACTACCCTCCCGCTTATCAGCCGCCAGCACTGTTACCTTTTTTTTTCCAACCTCGCTTCGACCTCGATTAACATTTTCTTAACACCCCGACACGCGAACTGGAATTATTAATAAAGCGATTAATCACGGGAAAGTTACATCGTAACCTCGAAAGCGAACCGACCGATTTAAAGTGGAAATAGTTACGCGTGATTGTGGAACGATTGCACGTTGAATAAAAGCTCCAGTGTAATATCAATCGCCAAAAAAAGCAAAAATGTGAACAGAAAATTTATGTCGTGTTATGTCACGATAAATGATCTTAGAAATTTTATAGAAGTAAAAATAAGTTTTTTCTGAACTTTCAAAAAAAAAAATTATAAGGTGATGTACTGAAATCTTCGAAAGTATGAATACAAATATTTTCTCAGTTGCATGCTTAGAAATTTAGACATTTTATACTTGAACGGGAAAATAAGTCGTGAGATATATCGCCGAACGTTGTATCACCAAGGGTGGTACTGCTATGTGAGAAATTAGTACCGTGCTTGATCATCACGCGTGGAATTACTATGCATAGAGTTGTCGCGCGTTATATTGCCACGAGTGAAATTACTACGTATGGAACTACTACGCGATATATAGCCACGCGTGGAATTCCTTCGAATAGAACTTCCACGCGTTATATCACCATGCGTGGAATTACTACATGCAGAATTATCACGCGTTATTTCGCCACGCGTGGAATTCCTACGAGTAGACTTATCACGCGTTATATCGCCACGCGTGAAACTTCTGTGCGTAGATTTATCACGCGTTATATCGCCATGCGTGAAACTTCTGTGCGTAGAATTATCACGCGATATATCGCTACGCGTGAGAATTCCTACGGGTAGAGTTGCGACACGTTATATCGTCACTTCTGAAACTTCTGTGCATAGAGTTGGCACGCGCTATATTGCCACGCGTGGAATTACTACGCGTATAGTTGCC